ATTGGACAAAAATCAATTCACAAACAGTAATAAGTTCAACAAGCAACAATTAAAAACTCAATCAACTTTTCTAATCAAGAAAGAAAAAATTGGAATTAAAAATTAACAGAACAAGCATTTACCATAGTCTGGTGATACAAAAAATTTGAAGATTCTTTGAAAAATTGGCTAATGCTCAAAATTGCAACAACAAGTGATGTTAACACATGCCCTTGTCCAGCTGAGGTCAATTCATTTATAGCTTGTTGCATTTCTTTTTGCTATTGCAAATAATTGACAATTGTCGTTGATTTTATTTTAAGATTTTCTTCAAATAAAAAATATAAATGTCAACACCAGTCACTTTTTTAAAATGATATAAAAACTAAATGGGTTTAAATAAAAATGGCTAATTAGCCACAATAAAATTTTCATTAAACTTTATCTCACTGTAGCCTTTCTATATTCTCGACAATGAAGAAGGCAGGTTATGGTGTCTTAAAGCAACCCCATTTTATCACCCAATATGCTTGTCCTCACTTTTTTCATTTTTATTTTCATCAATATTTGGAAGCCAATTAACGCAGCCATAAAAATATCTTGGCTTGACTTTATCGTTTTTTGTTTGTTGATTCATTACAAAAACTTTCTGCAGCAAAGTTTTGTTTTAATAGATTTGGTGCTTGTAGTCTGTTAATATTTTCAACGTTTAACCTTAAGTTTTTTTGCAACAGAGCTGCATCCTAACCTCACTCTCTAATTTTCAAACTTATCCTCAAGAGAAATAAGAAGTTTTCTTACAATTTAAAATATTCTCCAAGTTTGTACGACCCCCTTATAATCTTTATAATATCTTATAAATAACCCTGATGATTATATTTTGTGCTTTGACAAAAAAGAAGTATTTTGGTGGAGTAAATCTATGATTTCAGTTGGCAGCTTTTTCTAGGGAGCTTTGATAACACCTACCCAATTTTTTGAAAATTTTTTATATTTGGTCAAAGTTTTATATGAATTCATAAAAAATTTCTTTTTTGCCTTAATTACTTTTAGCTTTCTTAAATGGAATGAAAAAAATGGTCTCGTTTTTTGAGTTATTAGAAGCTGCCTCTAATGGTATCGTTGAATTTAATACCACACAAGTTCGATTATTTTGTATCTCATGCTTAAAATTTAATATTCAGGTCGAACGTTTTTATAATTTTTTAAAATGACGACTGAATTAGCAACAATAGTGGGTAGCTGGTTTTAACATCATTTCAATCATGCCAACCTGACGCAATAAATGCTCACTTACTATCGTTGGCTACTTGGTTACTTGTTGTTCAAAGCTCTTTATATAATATAGATCTTTTAGGTATTTGATTAAAAAAATTAATCTTGTCTAGCGTTAAATTCAAAGATATTAATAACAGCAACTTTAATAACTAAAAAAATGATACTATTCTTTTCATTTTTTGGTGTCATTTAAGAAAGGTTTAAGTAATTAAAAAAAAAATTTGAAAGTTGTGACCATAATTTGGAAATCAGTTTTATTGACACGTGACAAATTTTTAGTTAAACAAAAAATTTAACTACCAAATTTAGAGAGATTTTAGTATATGTTCCAATCCATAAACTTTCCTGAAGTTTTTTTTTTATTAAATGAAAAATAGTTTTTCTTGATAAAGTTTTAAAGACTGTAGAGAACTCTTACTTCAATAATAACATTGTTCGCCTTTTTGATAAACTTTTTCAAATTGGCTAAATGAATGTTATATACTTGTAAATACTTTATTATAAGTTAAACTAAAATGAAAAATTAAATTGTAAACGGCATAAAAAATAAATATACGTCTTCTTAAATCATTTTAATAATATTAGTAAAGCAGACGATGATTTAGATGTATGGTGAATAATTCGGAACCATTTTTTTTCATCGAAAGCAAATTTCGGACAACGTAAAACGAAAATTGAGCAGCCGTGGCGCAGTGGTTAGAGTTCTGTCTCAGAACCTAGAGGTTCGAGGCTCGACGCCAGCTCTAGCCCAACAAACGACATAGAAATTTCCAGTAGCCAGATTCGTGATATTTAAGGGTTAGCCGAATTTAGATTTGATAAAGTGCAGTGGATTGCCTAAAATTAATATTCTATTATCTATGCGTCTAAAGAACAAAATATCCCAAAAAATCCAATATAAACAAAATGAATTGAAATAACTTGAAATAACCAAAAATAACCATGAAGTTATTATTTTACTGTTTATTTACGTAAAATTACCGTAATTTATGGGAAGACACCGGAATTTAAAGCAAAGCTATGCTAAATTCCAGCAATTTTATATAACTAGTTTTTAGCAAAAATTACTTATTTACTTCAATTTTACTTTACATATTTACCTGTTATTATAATAATTACAACATTAAATGTTTTTAAAATTAAAAAGTTAACTTTAATTCTTATTTTGCAGGGTCTGCAACAACGAACAAGCGGATAAACAAAGGTTTGCATCTACAACACGACTGAAAGATTTGTTCATTTTTCCACGCATTGAAACAATTTATCTTATTGTTTGGACGAAAAAGGTTTCACAGCATCGTTCCTTGGGATATCGGCAGGTTTCTATAAAAACACCGTCGATTAAACACAGCAGGTTTTCTAAATTTAACTGTTTTTCAATCATTTTACAGTTTTTTTTTCATTTCATTTTATCAAGTGATCAATAGTTGCATAGCAACAATGCAACTTTTGATAGATTTTTAGTTTTAAAATAATTCAAATTTGATAAAATTATTTAAATACATGTTCTTTTATTTAATATATATGTTTTTACTAATGCAGGTGATAGAGATGACGATGTCTAGGCATATCCTAAGGCAACCGCACGGAAAAAGATAGCGAACAGAAAAGTTCAGCTTAAATACTTCGTTTTAACTTCTTATACTCAGCAAAGCTGAAATATCACCAAGACAAATTCCAACAGGAAAGAGAAAAATGCGAAAGAAAACAACTACGATTTAATTTTTTTAATTTAATTTAATTTAAAAACTTTATTTTTTGTTGATGGTTACAATAGTTTTAACAAAAATAAAACTAATTAAAATTTGATTTGTTAATGCTGTTAAGCGACTCAAAGAAAAAAAAGATAAAAAGGTATTGGCTAAAAAAAAAAAATTAGAAAATTGTCCCAACAAGTCCATAGCAACAACAAAAAGAAGTTCATTTCATTATCACCTGAATTGCAACCATTGGTTGATCCCTAGAACAATACTGACTAATATGTACTAAATATTTAACAATATTTTTTTATATAACTAAAAATGCATACAATTTCGTCTTATCTATATAAACTATTTTATTATTTTTATTTAAGAATACTCAAATCGCCTTATTTGTGATAAGATCTAATGGTCTTTTGAGCTTTACCAATAAAAACCAGTAAAAAATTTTAGCTTTACCAATAACGTATAAGTGTTTCTAGCAGGATTAGAACTCGCAACCCTTATACAATTATTACCATGCTCTAATCACTACGCCACGGCTGCTTAATATAAAAATTAACTTATGATTGGGGCAAAAAGAAGACAATATTTGTCATATCACTACGGCTCGTAAGCATTGATATGTTGAAACTATACTTTATTTACACATTTTACAATTACAATTGAGATTGATCTCAGAATCCAGATCAGAATCAAGTCAGAATCTAGGGAGAAAGTTTGCATTCACAAAATCCCCATGGTTTTATACTTTTCTAATTAAAATGGTGCAATTGAGCATAGATATTGACTAACGAGATTTAATCTCATTCACCTGTATATAACGCCCCACGAAAGTATAAGTTCTTTTTTAATTTGCACAGTGTGCAACTTTGAATCAACATGGCGAGATTGAGTTCAAGTTAGTGAGAATCAGTGCATTTGACACACTGTACAATTTCTAATGGTACTGTGGAATACTCTCATAAAATCTAGATAAATTTACATAATTTTGCAGCTGAAGGAATAAGCTATCTAATGATGTATAGTTCAGCTGTGCAATTCTAATAATAGCCTGTCAATTTCAGTGCAGATGTGGGTGAAGTTCGATTAAGTTATCCTACGATATAAAGGGACCAAAATAAAGTGAGCCGATTTTGGGGAGCGTAGAAACTTTGCATAGTGCTAACAAGTATATCCTAAGCATAATCCTTACCCTGACACTAAATGATTGTTAGTTAAAGTTTAAAACTTATTGATGAATTTCAGTTATGTATAAGATAGTAAAAAGACTTTATTAATCCATCACTCTTACATTTGAAGTGAGGTAGCAAAAGGTTGTGGGTATTTTATTTTTCAGGAACAAATCACCGCTATTTTTTGCAAAACGTTTTTATTTGACGTAAGAATAAAATTCTAAAGTTTGGAGTTTCCACAACGCCTGAACATATCATATTTGATATAGAGAGTAAATCTTGTAGCGTCCATGACACTTTTCAATAAAAATCAAATAAAAATTACATTCAGCAATAATTCCGAAAACAAAGTGCAGCGTACTAACAGCTTACAAACATATGCAGTATAAGTTCTAGACGCTAGAGGCGTCAAAATAGTTGAGATAAGTGAACCTTTCAACGTTAGATTGACATGCTTTTGTTTCAAGCGTATTTTTCGAGTAGTTGAGATTTACAGCTGTATTTTCAAATAACGGCTTTAAAATTTTTAAAACGCATAAATAAAACGATGCACAGTAGGGGGTTAAAAATTTGTACAATTGAATAATATTTTTTTTTCAAAAGTAAAAACTTATTTTTACAATTGTACAATTAATTTTGATAGTTTTTTAAAATGGAATCAAAAAAAAAATTTAGAATTTTATTATTTAATATTAAAATAATTAAAAATTGGTAAAGCTACAATTATTTTATTTAGCAGCTAATTTTTTAAATATAAATTAATTAACCCCCGAATTCTCGTGTAAAAAAAACAAATTAAGAAACGGGTGGATGGTATTCAGAAAGATTGCACGCTTGATTGCTCTATATTGAAGCCATCGTTTCGTTATGATATCATTTGTGCATAGGTTTTGCAAAGACCTCAACTAGCAAAAAACGTGCAAAAAAATATTATTCTAAATAAAGAAGTTAAATTCCAAAAGTTCTTAATTTAATGTAGTTTTTACATTTAATTTCTTTGACACATCATTACGCATACATCTATGTTGGATAGAATACAAAGGTAATTTTCTTAAAGGCTTGACTGGTTTTAAAGCAACTCGTATTCCGTTGTTAATTACGGAAGTTGCGTATCGATGACTCCAATTAATAAACACTAATTAACGATTATCATAATAAGTTTATTTATAATGTTTTTAGCAACATTATGACTTTTAAATTTATTATTCTTTTGATGTTTTGTATCATAAGACAGGAATAGGTCGGGGGGGGGGGGAGGTTATTGGGTTGTGTAACTACGCTTTTTAAAATAAAAATGTTAAAACGCGTAACCTAAAAATATTTTCATTAGTATTTATATAACCTTATTCCTATAGTTTTACTTATTTTTAGCTCTCTGTGACGAGTCACTATTATGAGAATAGCAGTTCAGTATATTTTCATTCTTACACTTTGTGGATCTTCACATGGAACATCCAAAGGTAATTAAAAAATAAAATCTACTTAAAAATTTTTTTTGAGATTATTTAAATGAAGTTTGATTTTTTATGTAAAAACTTTCGTGTAAATTTAAACGGTACTAACTAGATACTATTTTTACTTTATTTGTTTGGTCATAAAAACTGTAAAAACACATATATTATGACATACTATATGTAGATATAATATAAGCTTTTTATATGCTTTTGATAAAATTCTATTGAATAACATATAAACATGTTTATAAAAGTTGTTTTTAGACTAAAAGTTTTAAAAGTAAAAAAAAATAATTTTAAATAATTAGTAAGAAGCCTAAAAACCGGTAAAACAAGATTTTGTTGACATTGTATTTTATAACTTTATAATTTAATAAATTTTGCTATAAAACTTATTAACTGACATGCATTTCAAATACTTCAATTACTTATGAAAAATGAGATATATGAGAAATGTTTATAGGGTTAGATATATTTTTACATGGTTGCATTTATGTAAATTTCTATATTTACATATATGCAACCATGATCCTTCGAGTGCACAATTTATTCAATTACAATTTTATAATTATAATAATTGAGAAGATTTAAAGACAGTTATTAATTAACAAAAAAAAACTTTTTATTACTTTTATTACAAGTATTATATATTTCAGGTTTCAACACTTATAAAACAATAAATTAATAGTAAAAATGATTCTGTAGCTAAAATTATAAACAAAATCTAATACTTTTGAATAAATAAAGAAATATCAATGATAAATAATGAGTTTTCTCAGTAGCTAAAATGATTTGGACCAACCTCGGTCTAAAGTTCAGCCTTCAATGCATTTTCATTAAATAGAACTGAATAATTTGCAGGTGGCTCATTAAAAGTTGACGATTCTAAAGCATTGTTATATCATTACATCTTTTATTAAAAACAAAAGTTTTAGTAATATCTTGATACTCTTTTTTAGTTTCTTTCTTTTCATTACTGAGAATAATTACAAAAAGAATTTAAATATTAAATTTTTTAAATTAAAATAATTAAAACCTAGTTTGTTAAATAATTATTTTTTTTCGCTTTAAAAATAATAATAAATTAAATAGTTTTCTACATTTTTTTAACTTTATATTTAATATGTTTAAAAGTTGATATTAAGGTGTTATATAATGGTATAAAATTGGTTAATAATACAAGTCTACTGCATAAATAGAAAAAAAACGCGGGCGATTACAGATGGCGACCTGTTCTCGTAATCAGCAACCGTTTAAACTTTGTCGCATAAAAAAACACAAGAAAACAAATATACAAATAGCCAATGACAACGTAACTTTTAGCAACATCTAAAAAAAGCTTTTAAAACAATTTTTTTTGACAGAATTGCAAATATACACATCTTTGTCTTTTACATATTCTAATACGTTGATTTATGTGTTAATGTTGTTGCTCTTTAAAAGATGTTTTCCTTCATTGACCATATTTTTAATAAACAGTTTTTTATATTATAGTTGATAAAAAAACCGTTAGTAAAAAAGTAACATTTTCAATAAAGTTTTTTGTATCAAGTATTAGTTTTTTGTATCAACTGTAAGTTTTTTGTATGAACTGTACACTTCGTAATTTATAATTAATTAACATGTTAACAGTTTACTAAAATTTAGGCATTTCAACCCAAAATATTTTCAAAGTCGTTTTATTGGAAGCCTTTTAGTCCAGGAGCAAGCCACAATTTTTTTCCTTCATTTTATATCAGAATTTTTAACATGCAGCTATAAAGCAGCATTTACTAAAGTGGTTTTTCATCTCGTTCATATTGGGGACGTTTCGTGCCAAGAAAAACTAGAATTTGTCCCAAAATGACCATTATTTTACCCAAAAAATCAGGGCAAATAACTTTACAAATTAAAAATAGAATTTCAAATGATTAAGAAAATGTGAAATTTAACATCAAATTTTTTTGGGTCAAATCCCCCTAAAAACTGTATATTTTTGGGTCAGACCCCCCTAAAAGCTGTAAATTGGGTTACTTATTTAATTCAACATTATCAGAGACCAAATGTTCACAAAATGTATTTATACTAAAGCAGTATTGAAATAACCCACATATATAGATTTCTTTCACACAATACATGAGAAAAAGATGGTAGGTATCATCAATCCTATATCTTATAACATAAAATTACGGACGGGTTACTTTGGGTTTATATTTCTTAAGAATTAATTTTGAACGTATTTCATCAACAGAAGTAATTTGTTTGCATTTTTCATATATGCATATAAGTTCCCATAAATGCATAAATGCTTTAACATATTTATTAATTACCTTAAAATATACTTCAAAAACATACTATATAGAACTCATTCTATCAAAGGTTTCTTGTAAGATGGGATCTTTCTCAAGAATTTTTATTGTGCGGACCATTCCTAATTACTATTAAAGCAATTTGTATTATTACATCCTAAAAAAGAGTTGTTTGCTGGAAGAGACTTTGATTTTTTCCCAATTTTTTGAGTTACTGATTTATTTTTATATAACAAAAAAAATCTTTGTATAAAAACTAATATCCAGCCACACCTTCACATCCTGGTTTCATGGTATTCCTGGTTGAAGCCAAAAACCTAAAGCAATTATTAAAACATATGTATCAGTCATACACACAATAATGTTTGATGGTCCAGTAATCAACTTTATGCAAAAGGTTAATCTTTATTAGCCATTTCATGGGTATAATTATATAGTTCTTTAGCGTTTATAATTTTTCATTATTGTGAAACATAAATCTTTATTTATGACAACAAAATACTTCATTTTTGTTGTTTTCAATTACTTCATTGTTGCTCCATCAGCATGACAAAATGAGAGACGGATGGGTGTAAAAAAATATTTAAAAACTTCTGCCAAAGCAACCCTTCTTTAGAGCAAGAGAAATAAGATACTGCCGAACAGTCCGCTTCATGCTTACCTTAGCTAACTTGCTGTCTTTTCCATGAATTATAATTATTCCACTTTCAGTCGCAGATTTACTTTATTTATAGGCTCTTCAAATCTTTATGATCTTTCACTAAATTTTTCAATAAATTTTTTCTGTGCTTTGCATTCTATGTTTATAACATTTAACAGGAAATGATTAACGTCTTCGTGTATAGCTTTTACAGATCCGATGTTGAACAGACATCTTTGATTATGTTATTTTAAAAAAGAACCGTTTTCTCTTACATAATTCAAAGTATTTTAAATAATTTACATCTTATAAAAAATGTTTCGCATTGATGAAACTAAATATCGAGTTTTGCTTGATGTTTTCCCCCATCCAATTTGTTAGCACGTTTTGAAACGCTACTGTGACCCCAATGATAATGGATTATACTCAAAATTTCCGATAGATCTCATAAATAGAATTCTTTTAAATTTGGTTTTAAATCCTGCGACATCTTTTTTTATGACATGCCTAAATTATAAATATGCGTGAAATGATAAATGTGTGAATAAAGTTGAAATCACTCTGTGCTCATCTTTGCCTTCCAGATATTGAATTTGTTTGTGAGGTTTTTTTGTGAAATTTTTTTTCTCATTGGAACCAAAAATAAATGAACTTTTTTTTCATATTAGAGCAAACAAAAAATGCATCTGCATTTCGTGTTTGTTCTTATGTGAGATCGATATCGGAAGACTTTAAAGAGACTTCCGATTGGAAAAAGTTCCTTATAAATTCTTTAAGTGTGTATTTATTATCTTGAGAAGGTTATCATGGTGCAGCATTAACCAACAGATATATAATTAAGGTGATTGAGGGTAAAAAAATAAAAAGTTTGCTAACATACCAATTCCCATTAACTAACATACAAATTCCAAATTCACATTGCAAATATTTCTTAAAAATACTGATAAAGGTTATTCATCTTTACATAGATAACCTGTATTGTGCTGTTAACTCAACTTTGCCAGCTTCTGTATCACATGCATAGTTCTGATAATTGTTAAAAAAGTAATTTATTTTATTTGATATTTTACGGGTTTTTTTTCCTTCTTTTTTGATGTAGTAAATTAAGCTACACTTGAACTATATCAATAGAATTAGTATTATCTAAAGTTAGAAAGTATGATTTAGAGTGCAAAACTATAATTCATTGCCAACTTAAACAGCTGATGTACACACTTGCTAACCTTTTCCTGAAAGAAATGGTTTAAGTAAACTTTTTTGAACGTTCGTTTAAAATTTATGTGGATAAACAATCTTTTTTAGCTATGATTTGGCATTTATAAAAATAGCTGTCAATCTTTTAGCGGGACATTTGAATTCCATCACACCCAGATCAGCGTAGATTCTGATGATAAATAACAATCTATCATCCATAATATGTTAACCTTTTTTACAACAGCCAAATTTTGATATTTTTTTTTATATATTCTCTCTTATTGGAATCGCATCTAAAGTTAATATTTTTTGCTTTTTTCGGTACGTTGCAATTTTTAACTACAAATAAAGTAGCCTCCTCAACTATAGTGGCCTTTATGGCCTTGGGGAGTTAAATGAACATTGATGAAAAAAATCTTAGGGTTGAGTCGTATTTTATGTACGTAAAAAAAAAATTTAATGTACGTAAAATTTAAAAAAATTTTATGTACGTAAAAAAAAAAAGCGAAAACGCTACTAAGAATATTTAAAGTTAAAAAGCGCTTATGCAAACTTTTAATTTCCTTCTTTTTTAATTTCCGCAATAAACAAGTTGCGTTTTTCACTTAATTAGTTTACGTACATACGACTCGACCAAATCTGATATAAGAATCCCAGACTTTGCCCTAACTTTTAATGTTAAATTTTTTTTATTCATTTTATAATCATTATATATAACATAAAATGTATAGGTAGGCTTTTTTTTCTCGATCAAAAAAGAATGCAAAAAAGCGAAACAGAACTAGAAAGATAATTTGGTTCAACCCCATATAGGAAAAATGGTCCCATTAAAATAGAAAAAGTGTTTTTAATATTGCTGGATAAACAATTCCAACCCTGTAATAATTTACATTAAATTTTTAATCAAAGTACAATAAAAGTTAGCTACAGTTGTACAAAAAAATGTAGAAAGAATCATAAAAGGTCAAAAAAATATCCTTTGTTAAACAAAAAAGAAATTCTAAATGAAAAAAGTTGCAAGTGTAAACAAAAATATGGTTGTCCAATCAGTTGAAAGTTTTTATCAAAAAACGCAGCGTTGAAATGTGTTGTTTTTCTGTACCTGTACCTGTTGAACATTAACAGAGGTTGAATGGGAAAAATGATTTGCCAATCATAATCATGGTGTCTTTGAATACTTTTCATTTTGAATGCAATCGTTTAAAATTAAAAAGTATTCAAAAGACACCATGCAGTCAAAATACATATATGAATTGGAAGATAAAAAAAATAAATGATTATATATTGAACTTGTCTTTCTTTAAAACAGCACCTCCATATAATAATATTTCCATAAAATTTATATTATGTCTTAATAAAAAATTTGAAATACTTATACATGTGAACCAAGAATGTTTGTTAAATAAAAAATTCGAATTGATTTCTAAATGCAGGCATGAAAATAAGTTTATCTTGAAAAACTAAAAAAAATAAATGAACTTAAAAAATAATTATAAATTGTCTTTTAAATACTAAAGAATTCTTTTTATAGTGTCAACATATTCCATATTTGTGGAATATGTTGACAACTTATTTTGTTGTTGGTAATAAATTCAACAACATTTCAAGATTTATTTTAAAAAACAAATTGATTTATAAAAAATCATTTTTCTTCATATGATTAAAAAAAAGTTTTATTTTTAAATTTATTGGGTGGAAATACATTATAAATAATAAATTATATATATGTGTGTGTGTGTGTGTGTGTGTGTGTGTATGTGTGTGTGTGTGTGTGCGTGTATATATATATATATACATATATATATATATATATATATATATATATATATATATATATATATATATATATATATATATATATATATATATATATATTACTTAATTAGTTCCATATAAATCAGGAATAATTCAAAATAATATTATTTCTGTTTTTAATTTTTTTATATAATTTATATAGTGAAGCGTGATATATCCGACTTGAAGAATGATCCGATCCTTAGTTCTATTTTCGCTTCTGATAAGGAAAACAGCAGAAAGGATAGGTCAATCATAAATGATCACCATGATAGTAATTTAAAAAAACAATTGTTAGAGAACACTGATAAACAAAAAAGAGATGCTGACTTGTTGCCAGAGTTGATGACATTAAATTCTAATAGCAACAATAATGAACCAATTATCAGTAAACCTATACCAATACCTGATAATGATCCAGCTCTTCTTGTTCTGGATACATCACAATCAGCAGTCAACCCATCTGCATTGTTTGCTAATTTTTTACCACTTACTTCTGATGCTCAGCAAGGTTAGTCCCATCCTGCTAATGACCATTTTTCATGTGTTAAAAGACAATATTTAAAAAATCTACATTTGTGAGTATATTCAAATATATATACTGGAACACCTTGTACACATTTAACATGACATTACTCAAACTTATTATATAAACTAATTTACAAATTTCTAATACACATGTACATTATGCAACTACACCTTTTATTTATAAGACTAATAACATATAAAAATTAAAACATGGACACAAAGTAGTATTTAAAATAAAAGGTTTGTTTGGTGAGTTTAGTGCTACTGATTGTCAAACTTTCATCATGTTTTCTTTCTCTTTCATATTTTTCTTTCAATAACACAACTCATACACAAAGGTTATATAAATACACCTTGGTTGGGTTCAATATGCTGTACTTATGCTACACACACATTCTGTATTCACCTTTTATGAAAGAATTATCTAAATCATTTATAATATTATTGTTTCATTATTCTAGGATCTTTTCTTTCTTGGTATCCATGGAGTGGCAAAGTCAATACCATTTCTAATAAACCTTATACAATGAGTAAAAAATCTGTATTGCCTAACATCTTTGAAGATATTAATATTCCTTTGACTGGTAACTAATTAATAATACCATACTGAAAGTTGATGACAACTGATATATAATAAATTTATATAACTGACTATGTATAAACATATATATATATATATATATATATATATATATATATATATATATATATATATATATATATATATATATATATATATATATATATATATATATTTGCTACACACTGCGACTTTGGTTACTGTTTGAGTGCTCTTGATCTTTTTGTTCAAAAAAGTTTTACACAATATAACAAGTTTTAATAACAAGTTTTTTACAACTACTTGTTGACACTGACTTAAACTTTTAATAAAGTTGGATTAAAAAGTAATATCAGCTATTCAGGTTGATAACTTAATTTTTTTCTTGTTTGATGTTTTCTATGCTTGTTATACTTCTTTATTGTTTGTTTTGCAGTAGATAAGAAAGATGATGTTCCTCATGTTCATCGTAGTTCTTTTCCAGTACAACTTAGAGTTCATTCTCCCAATGAAAATTTGTTGGGAATAGTTCCACATGTTCCAGAATATGGTAAAATTACTATTAATAACATTTTATAATATATAATGTATAATAGACAGATTAATTAACAAAATAGAATACAGTTTGAGGCTTTCAATTATTTGATTTAAGGCGAAACTGTTGCTTCAATACAAACAGCTAGAAGTTTAGTTGAAAATACTAGAAGTTCAATTCCACATCCTTCAGACAATTTAGCAATCAAAGCTCCAGAGGATGAAGTTATTGTGACCAAAAGCATTATTCCTAACACTATATTTACAAATATACCTGCACCAGCAGCAGTTGAAAAAAAGTCTGTTACCAATGAACAAAAGCGTCAATACATTCCTACAATGCAGCTAAACAATTTGTTTTACCCACAATACCAACAGTATCAAGTTCCACAATATTCGAACTATTTGCAATATCCAGCAATTAATGTTCAGCAGAGCCCAATAGTGCAACCTATGTATCCATCAACAGTTCAAAGTCTGCAACAGCAAAGTGCTATTTCAAGTATAAATATATTATTACAAAGATTAATTTGTATTGTTTATAAAAAATGTAATGATGATGATCATCATGATCATAATAAAAAGCTTTGATCATCATCATAATCGATGATGATAAACATGATCATAATGATAATGATGATGATCATCATTATGATCATGATATAACAATGAATAGTAATAGCAATTTTATCAGTTTAAATTTTTTTTAGATGAACCTTGTACCGATCAATATCCAATGTGTACAGCCTTTGCAAAAAACAACTACTGTTTTAATTATCCAGATCTCATGAAAATTCAGTGTCGCAAATCATGTGGACATTGTAGTAAGAAACTTTTTTTATTTGTTTTAATGTTTATTTCTATTACAATAAAAATGTTCTTTTTTTTTATTAATGGTTAATATTCTTAAATACTTTAGTTCCATCATTTACACCTGTGGAAACAGTAGTTGCAAATGATACCACTGCAAATGTTGAAAACCAATCAAAATCAGCTGTAATCAAAGCAGCAAAAGGTAGAGATTCTAAAAAATCTAATGATAAAGGTTCAAAGTTAACAGAAAAAGTAAAAAAAGTAAAATCAAAATGTAAGTTTGTTACTATAATTCAATAAAAGAAAAATTATTTTCAAAAGTAAAGTGTTAGGTTATTATTTTTACAGCCAAAATAACAACAATTGTTGTGCACAAAAAACCAGATGAGAAGTTGAAGACTCAAACTATTAAGCATAAAGAGTTTGATGGAAAAGCAACTGTTTCAACTAGCAAATATAAAAATGAAGGAATCGATGAAGAAGATAGTGGCTCTGGGTCAAGTGGTTCTGGATTAGATGCTGAGGGTGAAAGTGGTCTGAGTGAAGAGTCAGGATCTGGAGTTAATACTGTGAACACAAAATCTTTTAATGTCAGTAAAATCTTAATAACAAAAAATAATACAAAACCCCACACAACCGTGAAAAAATTGGTAGATGCAAAAATTCAAGGTACTGAAAAAAAGAGCAGAAGAAGCAAAATACCTGATAAGAAACAGGTTTCACATCCAGGATTTAGTGAATTCAAACTACCAGTAAAAAAGAGTGTTATTCCTGTCTCATCACTTGCATTAGCTGATAAAAATGGAGATGATATAGATAGTGGTTCAGGTGACTCATTGATTGAAACTGCTTCAACAAAAAGTAAAATTGTTTCAAATGTAACTGAAAAATCATCAAGTCAGCAATCAGCTAAACCACTTCCAAAAGTATTAACAAAAGCAGTAAAGAAGAAAAACTCAAAAAACATTCTTATTAATGTTCCAAAATCTAAAAATAAAAACATTGGGCATGCACAAAATGTTTCCATAATTGCAAAACCAAAAAGCAAAACAAAAAAAACCAAAAAACAAGGAGTAAATATTAAAATTGTTCATAAAGAAAAAAAAAATAAAGCTAAAACAAAAAGAAACCAACACAAAATTTTAGGTAATTTCATTTTTCTTTATAATAAAAAACATTAGATTTATTTACAAAAAGTTTTAATTTTTTTTATTAATTTTTTTTTTACTATAAGTTTTTCGAATTATTTCAGTTGTGAAGAAAAACAAGGGAGAGAAAAATGTGACTGTTAAAGTTGAAAACAAATCAACAAAAAACAAAACGAACATCAAAAAGAAAGATGAACAAATAATAGTTAAGAAGCAGGAGATAAGCCAAAGACCAGAAAATGCTAACTCTGCCATATTTGCAAGCAAATATCCAAGGATTGATCTTCGTGCAATTGCTAATGCATTGGCTAAATATGAATCAGCTGCTTTAGAATTAGCAGGTGAATACCCAAAACCAGCACAATTTGACATGACTGAATATCAAAGATCAAGTATACCTCATCCAGAAACTCTTTATGTAAACAACATTGAACAAAATATACAAATAGCTGAACTTGTTACTAAAACTGAACGAGATAAAAAAAATATAATACCAAAGTATTTAAAACTTTCCACTGATGTCTTCAAAGATGGAGATTCCTTTCTTGATACAGAGAATGCTGATAGCCTTGATTCAGTAAGGCGGCGATTTGAAATTCCAGGAATAGAACCAACTTTAAATGATTACTATTCTGAAACTGGAAAAATCAATCCATTTTCTTCAAAACAAAACAGATATAAAAAGAGCCAGATTATGAAGATCAAAACGATGAATACATCTTCAGATCCTTATGAATACTTGAGAAATATGCCTCCTGGGGCTTCTATGGAACCTATAGAAGATCCAAGAAAGCGTTCAAATATTCCATCGGATCATTCGTTTCCAGTTTTTCTAATGAAAGTATCACCTGCTGACCAAAAATATAAACCAGAAGAAGGTAAGATATATGAAGTCTTTCAAATATTATATTCAAATATTCAAAAAAATATTAAAATAAATTTGCATTTTTAGTAATAACATTTTACATCAAATGTGTTAATTAAAAAAGATCTGCTGCCATTTTTTAGTTATAAAAAATATTTAGTAGCTTTAATAATAGTTTGATGCATTTTATTGATCTTTGATAAAAACCAGTTTTTATGGCTATGTCCTAAATCGTTGCTGCAATACAAGACTTCTTAAATCCATTTTTGCTGTTCTGAGAAAAAGGCATTTAAATTTATAAATTGCTGCAAATTAAAACATTAAATACATTTTTTACTGCGTTTGATCTTTTTGATTAAACCTAATTGTTTTTAGTTTGTTTATAGCCAATTCTATTATTTTTCATAATATAACAAAAAAAAAATTAAATTGTACACAATTCACAAAGTTATATTGACTTGTAGTTATATAGATGGTATTAAAAAGATTTGATATATGCAATTATTTAACAATTACTTTCATATTTTATCAAGTTAGTTAATTAGTGCTAATAATCAAAATAATTTTAAAATAATCATTTAGCGATGGAATCATTAACATGTAACGAACTTGAAAAACACTTTAAATTAAATAAATAAATTGATACAAGTAAAAAAGTTTTTTATTTGAAAAACAGTTATTTTTTAATGTCTAGCTGCTGCTAAATTAATACTTTTTTTTTTAATGTTAATTTACTTCCTCAAGGCAGGAAGGTTACTACAGTTGAGGAGGCTATTTTAATTGTGGTTACAACCCTCTCTCAACTCTATAACTCCGAAACATGAACCTTGAAAAACAAGGTCGCTGCATGGAGAAACAAGCTGATCGTGTTACTACGAGGGACTTGGTGGGAATCAAACTCGAAACTTCTTGCTTATAAACGAGAGCTCTACTACTACACCACTAACGCAGTTTTTTTTTTACTTTCCTTTTATATTTTCAATTCACTTTACTTTTATTTTGGTAAAAATTATAATACTGTTTTGGAATATAACCTTTGTTGCTTAGGGGGAAAAGATCCTTTATTTTCAGTGCACTAATACCTCTTGGAGCAAGATACATCTGCTTTTGTAAGTGTATATCTGTTGCTGGTTTTGTGCAACCAGTAGTTGTCATGGTTTAACGCCGTAAATACACAGTTATTTTTTTTAAAGCTTTTAATTTAACAACTGGAAATGTTTAAATATGAATGATGACATTTTGTTTCTATTCAATTGCTATTTTTCTTTGGTTTTTGTGGCAACAAATTAAATCCTTTCTTGTGGCAACAAATTAAATAATTTTCTGTAGCAGTTTTTTTTGCCATTGCTGTTTTTACTATCTGTGTGTCTGCTGTATTTAAAGTATTAAGAAACATGGGTGCAGATTCACATTTCAAGAACATTATTTTCTTGACATGGAAAACTGTATGTAAATGTTCAAATTTTTTTTCTAATTCCAAGTGCTCTCTTTTCCTTCTTCGTTTTTGTTCTTCTTTTATTACCCTTGCCACAATGTATTGTCACTTATACACTTCACAATACACTTCACTGACCAATAGGAATTAAATAATTGTTTACGTTATTGCTCTGTAAGGTTTTTTATGCACTGAAACAAGCATTTCTTACCACATCCTTTTTGCATTTTCTTACCCTACTTGCTTTTCTTAAACACTACTTCTTTTGCTTTATTTAGACCACTCTTTTTTACATGAAATCTCTGACCTGTGTTTATCTTGAATTTTCTAATTATTCCTGATTGGTCCTTTTGTTTTTTTGGCGTATCACATAGAGTTGGAATAAGTTCTTTAGTGCCGAATTTTCCAAGTTCAACAGGTTTAAATTTTTCACAATCTCTGAGGTTCCAAAGTATTACTACACCAATACTAGTTTTATCAACATCAAGTTTTTCATTAATTTTGTTAAAAAGAATCATCCAAAATATTTAGGTATCTCTCCGTAAGTAGTATTACTCCCTAAAATAATATAATCATTTATAATGATTATATTGCTTTTAGAGAGTATTATATTGATTGGTACTGTTGATAGGTCGTAGTTTAATCCTGTAAAATAATGTAAAATATAATGAAGTCATCTCATTGAAAATATTTCTATTATACTTTTTTTTTACAATAATAAAATGTACTTAACTCAATTACTAACATATATATATATATATATATATATATATATATATATATATATATATATATATATATATATATATATATATATATATATATATATATATATATGTATATATATATATATATATATATATATATATATATATATATATATATATATATATATATATATATTTACTTTACAGCCTCAAAGCGAGGAAAAGTTCACCACTTAAATGCAGAAGGCTTACCTATTGATGATAAAGAGAATGGAAACAATAATGCTCCTATAACATCATCTCCAGTAGAAGATCATCATGACACTCAACAAAATTTTGTGAACACTGCATTAGTAAGTCCAATGAATATACCTTCGTATCCCCAAGCCATGCAGTTTGTTCCCCCGCCTTACATGCAACCTGGGTTTTTTCAGTATCCAGGAGTACCAGCTTTACCAGAGGAACATGCAGCAGTTTCTCCACCAATAGGTTTTACTGTTGAACAGCTCACAGCACCAAGAACAAGTACTGCTTTTGCACATGAAGATCAAGTTGAAAATCAGCCAAAGGATTCTTTAAGTTAGTTTTCATTTTTTAAATAAAATGTAAATATTTTTAATCCCTTTAATTGTATTTTATTTATTTTTATTCAAGGGAGCAAAATGCTAAGTGCTTTTTTTACTGTAAAAAATGGAGAGGGTGTTTCAGATGAAGGATCTGGCGCAACCTCAAGTGATAAAATAGGAAAAAGTAAGTTGTTTTTTTTTTACATTTTAATTTAACATAAGATGATTTTAACTACTAAATTATGTTTAAAGTTTAATTTTAAGCTATTCACTTATTCATTCACTAATTAAGATTGTAAAAAAATTAACAAAAAACGCAATCTCTGTTTTCCATTTAGAAATAGGTCATATTTTGACTCTCTTTTTTATACTGTTTGTGTTATTCTTCATACATTTTATTGCTTGACTAGCAAACTCTACTGTAGGCAGGTACATTATTTAGGGGTTGGAAAAACTATAACTCCAACTTTATTTTCCCATTCTATGTCAAACAAGAAGCTTCCTAAAACATTTAGAAAAAAATTTGAATTTTTCTGACCTCCCTAGAGGTATAAAAATTTTGAAAAATTTTAAACCACTTATTCATTAAATCGCTGTCTTAGTTGGAGCAAGGATCACCAGGATCAATTTTATTTGTGTGACTACTATTAGGAAGATAGGTACAAATTTTCAGCTAAAAATTTATAAAAATAACATATTAAGAAATATGATCTGTTAAAAATTTGCATTTATCAAGATTCCTTTACATCTTTTAATCGAATTCAATTCAGGGTGACCTACATCAAACAGTTTCATTTCTAGTGCCAATAAACTTTTTTCATGCAACTTTTGTATTTTCCTTTTTTTGGAACATTATGATACAAGTTTCTTGCATATATTTCTTATATATGGGTTTGGCTATTTGTAATAAGTTTTTTTTTACTACAGTATGGATTAAGCAGAAGTCATGTGGTAAAGCATAAGTGGTGATGGTATTTGTCTGACAGTTTTTAGTGCTGATTCTCATTGAAATGCCAATAATAATTGACGCGACCTGAGAAGATGTTTATTAGTTAACCACTTCACAAATTAGATTTCACACTAATTAACATTAATTAGCATTTTTTTTCATTCTTAAGCCTTACATTGTTTCTCTTTATTACATTGTTGTATGCATACTTTTTATTTTACAGTCAATATTTCAATTTTGTTTTGATGATATGTTTATTGTATATCTTTGTTCATAGTAAATGTTTATAAAAAGTGTTTTTATTATTATTGTAAGTATTGTTGGAGTGCACTGTCTGGATTATTTTTGTCATGGTATTAGTATATTTTTTAATACTCTTCTTTTAATCTTTATTTTTGTCTTGAAAACTGTCTAAGCAATCAATTTCTTATGTTTATTCTGATATAAATATTTCAGCATTTGAAGGTGTTGATATTGCCATTTTAAATTTAAAAAGTTATTAACTCAGCATAGTTTCACAAAGTTTATTTCCACATAGGTCCAGCATTGCAAACATTTAAAAAATATTTTCCTAAAATTGTTCTAAATATAAAATGTTAAAACTTCTAGGGACATCCGGCTAATTAAAATATTTTCAAAATTCTTTCTGGAAGTGTCTGATATAACAACATAAAATGGGAAAATAAAGTGGCAAAGTTGTAGTTTTTCTGACCCCTAAAAAAGTTTCTGACCCCTAAAAACTGACCTGCCTACTCTACAGTTAATAAACCACGCACAAACATTAACTAAAACGTTTCCTGTTCTATTTTTTGTTTGCTATTGTTGAAACCACCAGGCAAGACGCAACAAAAACATTATATGTCTTTACAGTTAGCGTTTGTGCGTTGTTTGACTTTTAGATATCTTATCTAAATAATTTAAAAAAGAAATTTTCATACAATTCTAGATGATTTTGGTAGACGACAAAATGTCTGGCCCAGTGGTTTCAAGAAATAGCCTTACGAAAACTCCAACTGAGAAAAATAGCTTTTAACAGAATAGAACTTTTACTCATAAGACTTCAATGAAGTCGCTACCTGGCTCTACAAGAAGACAGTTGAAGGTTTTTCACGCAGCAGTAAACACTAATGCACATAACTCATTATTTTTTAAACTATTAATTGTTATACAAATTTGTTAGTATTGTTAACCTTATTATTTGACTCACATTTTAGTATTTAGTTGTTTGTCTTCAAATAAATATTGTAAAACTAAATTTTTTATACTGAAATATATTTATATCGTTTGTAAAAGTTTTTTTTTTTAAATATCTCTAAAAGTAATCTGAAAGTACAGAAGTATAATATATATGATAGTATATATCTTGTTTTTGTTGTTGGCATTGAGAATACCTATACTATATCTGCCTATACTTTTAAAAAATATCAAGACAACTGGTGTGTAGGAGGAGCTGGAAAAAGTCTTTTTATATAAACTGAGTTTACCACAAATTTTTCAAATATTTATAAAGTATTATAATGTAATGTAGATTTTTTATATATACAAAGTTTTTTTTTACTTTTTTCTAACATAATTTGAATTTAAAGCTTTTTATTTAATATTATATAATTAGTCATAACAATATAATTCTACTTTTAATTGCAATATAACACATTTTAATAAGGTGTAAACACAATTATAACACATTTTAATGTGTAAACACAATTATAACACATTTTAATATAGTGTAAACACAATTATAACACATTTTAATAAGGTGTGTTATGAGGTTTGTATTTATTTGTTACAGAATTTTTTCACGTGTTCTTAGCTTGTGGTTTTTTGTTTGTTTGTTTTTCACAGGCAATTTAGGTGAGACAGGGTCAGGCGATGGTAATGAAGATGCACAAAAGCCAGTTATATCACTTCATAACCTTCTTAAAAATGATTTACTGTTATCAGATGATAAATCATCAAATATTGGAAAATCTAGCAGTTTCAAAAGCCCATCAAACAACCAACAGGATCCCTCTGCAAATTATTTGCGGTCTAACTTAGCAGCGCTTACTCCAGAGAGTGGAAAGTCAAATACTGATGAACAATCTGTTATGTCTGGTGAACATGCAATGTCTACAAAAATGAGAAAAACTCAAGAAACTAACTGGATGCGTCCGAATCCTGAGTCTGAACTAGCATCAGCATTACCTGAATCATACATAGATTCTTCAGGTATAGCATCATAATTGATACATTACTTAAAGTTCTAGAATTAATTATTTTTATTTTATAGATTTTTTATATACTTAATTTCAACTACAATTGATTAGAAACAAAAAAATAAGTTTTTATTATATTTACTTGTTATTGATATATTATTTAGTTTTTATCATATTACTTATAATATTACTACATAACTGGTAAATCCTTGTCTAGCCAATTATTCACTCAGATTTCTAATAATAATGTAATTTACTAGAATTTGATTAATAATAGTAATATTTAATAATAATGTTTCCTAAATTTAACTTTAAGTTACATTTAACAGAAAGTAATTGTACAAATGATTAGTACTATCAGTAATTTTTAAACGTTTCAAAATGTTAAATAATTACTGTTTATGTATTATTTAATGACATACATTACTTAAATTTTATCATTGCACAATATTAACAACAGTATTGGATCTACAGCAGAAATATTAGAGTTTAATTCAAAAATTACATTATGACTGATGGTTCTTCTGACAGAGATTTAATGACTATCATTTGCCCAAACCTCATCAAGACATACTACTGAAGTGAGTTACATAAATTATTTACATTACTAAACATTTAAACATATATTTTGTATTTTTGTTATTTATTTGCATTATTTGGTTGGACTCTTGCTTTATTATATTTTTTATAGTAAATTGTTTTTTTTTGTTTATTATTTAGATTTGAACAAAGTTGAACATCCATCGGAAAGGGAGTTAGAAATAGTTCCTAAAAGGAAAATAAAAGGAAGTCATTTAGCAAAAAAAGTTCCTGGAGATGCCCACTTTTCTAATTACTTGGTAAAAAAACACAGCAAAGAAGCTTTTGAGAAACACAGTTTTCATCTGTTTAAACCCTTGCATCGTTTTAATGAAAAGAGTATAAACCATCTTTTAACAAAAGTTGAAGAAGACGCAAATCTAAGCTCTAAGTTTAAGGACCATAAATTAAATATTAATTTTAATAAAAACCCAGCTTATCATGATAACAGAAATGAATATGATTCTGATAGATATTCAATATTTGACTCTCAAAAGTCAAAGATTAAGCATAAATTGGCTTATTTTCCTGTGAAAGGAAAGCATCTCAGTAAATTTATCAATAGCAGTAATGTTAACTTTAATATACTCTTAAATCGAAATTTTCCTCATAAGTATAATTCTTTAATAAGGCCACTTAGTATAGTACATAAAACAAGTTTTCCTTCTATATATATACCTCCTGACCGTTATTTTGAAAAATATGATCCGGTTTTAAAAAAAAATCTTATTCAGCATACATTAAAGAATATCAATTATGGTAAAATGAAAACAACATCAAATAAAGGTAACTTTAGACACCTTTTTAATAAAGTTCATACTAGTCAATCTTCCCATGTACGTCCTCAAAATTTGATTGGTCGAAAATATATTGAACAGCCTGCTGATCACAAAGCAGTATTAAAAACTTTTCTTCAAAGCCAAGCAAAAGGTTCTCTTGGTTATGCCTTTTATGATAAACTACTATCAAATGGTTATTCAAAAAAAATAGATTCAAAGAGAAGAAAAGTTGCTGCAAACAGCAAGAGTGGTAAATGTCATTAGAAGGCTTGTTTGCAAACCCTTATAAATCTATATATACTAGATATCAATATTAAATTTATTTATTTTGTGAATGAGCCAACAAAAAGATAATTTCTTAAGACTGATTATAAGTTTATATTTATCACTAAATTTATTAAATATTGTTTTATACATTTTAATCCCAAATTTAGATTTTTAGTTGAATTTAATACCTCTTTTTTTCAGTTCCTTCAAAGGAGACTTCTAGCCATCAAAATTCATGTGAGTTTTTAACTTGACGATGATGATGATAATGATGATGATGATGATGATGATGATGATGATGATGATGATGATGATGATGATGATGATGATGATGATGATGATGATGATGATGATGATGATGATGATGAGGATGACGATGATGATGATGGTGATGATGAGGATGATGATGATGATGATGATGATGATGATGATGATGATGATGATGATGATGATGATGATGATGATGATGATGACGATGATGATGGTTATGATGATTGTTTAACTTTTTCTAGGTTTGTTGTTCTCTAGTTTAATCATAATAAACTTTTTAATAATTTTTATTGTTTTATTACATAGTGAACCAAGCATTTTTAATGGAAAATGCTTCACCACGCGATCAAATACCATCAAAATATATTACAACCAAAAAAGCAATAATGCAAGCAGATATGGTACGTGGACAACCAACATCTGATATAACTAAAAAATTTATCAACCAAAAAAAAGTTTTGAGTAAAAACTTGTTTGAGAGTTTCCCATCCCAAGATATAGCCATAACTCATCTTAAAGATGATATTGATAAATCTATTCTTATGGAATTTCCTAAATCACCTTTTTCTTCTCACAATATAAATAGTTTTGCTAAAGAAGCTAACAATCCTTTAAATACAAAAAGTTTTGTAAACAAGAACTTATTAATATCTTTGAACTCAAAATCATCTCAAAATAATCAAAACAATGGATATTCTAACAGAGATAAAATACCAAATTTTAATAGAGATAATATACAAAACAACATTCCATACTTATGGAGACAGTATTCTAACAATATAGTTCCGAGTATTTCTGTTGCTTCTGAATCTCCAGATTTTCAAATGCCAGTTCAAGTTTCATTTAGCAAACAAGAATCTTCTTTACTTTCAGCAAAAGTAGGTTCTGCAAAGTATGAGCAAAACCCTGTAGCTCAAATTGTAGCAAACAAGCAATTAGATGCTGGTTAGTATTTCAACCTTTTTATTTATAATCATTTTATTCAACCTTTTTTGAAAATGAAATATGAAAAAGTTTTACATTTTTCAGTTACTGTCATTATCTTTATTATTACTTTTAAGGTGTATAATGGTGTCTATACTTGAAGAAATAGTAATACAAAAAATATAATAGTAATAAAAAATGAAATGTCTTACTAATGTGATTACACTTTTTTGTTTTTTTGCTTCTTTATTTATTCCTATTGTTTATATATTATTATTATTATTTTTTATATATTATTATTCTTATTGTTTATATATTCTTATTCTTATTATTGTTTATATATTATTATTATTATTATTATTATTATTATTATTATTATTATTATTGTTTATATATTCTTATTCTTATTGTTTATATATTATTATTCTTATTGCTTATATATTATTATTATTGTTCATATATTATTGTTATTCTTGTTTATATATTATTATTCTTATTGCTTATATATTATTATTATTGTTTATATATTATTATTATTCTTGTTTACATATTATTATTATTAAATAATAATAATATAACATATAAACAATAATAATAATATATAATCAATAATAATAATATATAAACAATAATAATAATAATATATAAACAGTAATAATAATAATATATAAACAATAATAATAACAACATATAAACAATAATTATAATAATATATAAACAATATTGTTTATATATTATTATAATTATTGTTTATATGTTGTTATTATTATTGTTTATATATTATTATTATTATTGTTTATATATTATTATTATTATTATTATTTATATATTATTATTATTATTATTATTATTATTGTTTATATATTATTATTATTGATTATATATTATTATTATTGTTTATATGTTACTATTATTGTAAATATATTATTATTGTTTATATATTATTATTATTATTGTTTATATATTATTATTATTATTGTTTATATATTATTATTATTATTATTGTTTATATATTATTATTATTATTATTATTGTTTATATATATATATATATATATATATATATATATATATATATATATATATATATATATATATATATATATATTATTGTTATAATGTTTATATATTATTATTAATGTTTATATTTTATTATTATTATTATTATTGTTTACATATTATTATTATTGTTTAAATAATACAAACCTAAAATATTTAGGTTCTTTATTTATTTATTTTATTATTATTATTATTATTATTATTATTATTGTTTACATAATATTATCATTGTTTAAATAATACAAACTTAAAATATTTAGGTTCTGGTCAGAATTATCTTAATCAAGCTGGGGTTTCAGTGCAACCTTTATTGCATAATACAATGGAATCAAAAAAACAAACAATATCACAAGGGGTTCGTAAAAACCTTATAAAACAACAACCAGATCTTGATTGTGGGGATGATTGGGAAGGTGCTCGCGGAGATTTTGGAACATTTTGTTATAAAGAAATTAAAGTAAAAGCTACATTTGATGATGCCCTTGCAGAGTGCCGAAGACTAAAGGGAGATCTCTTTAGTATATTAAATGCTTATGAAAATCGATATCTTCAGGATAATATACATGAAAGGTTTTGGATTGGTTACAGAGATAAAGGTACAATTTTACAAAGAAGTTTTAATTTTTTTATTTTTGTTTTTGTAGCAACAGCAAAAAAGTTAAAGTTTTCAATTTTTCACTGCTTGTTTATATATATTTTTTTAACAAAAATTTCTAGATCAATATAATTTCACTTTTTCTTTTTCGCTTAACATAAGCACATACATACTGGCGAGAGAAAAAAATAAACAGAAACAAATATTTTATTTAATAGGTAGCAAATGGGTATTCTTATTTTCATTTAACTTAAGTGTTATTTTATGAGCTTATGTAGCTATAATTATGTATATATAAATATAATATTAAGGGAGTCGTATTATTTAAGGGTTTCATATTATTTAAGCATATACAGAAGAATTCAGTTTAAATTTCAGTGGAGTAAGAAGTGTTAAAGGTTTTGTAATATTTTTATAAGACAAGAAGAAAATAAAACGGCAGAATATATGTATAATTTTGCATTTATCAAATTATGCAATTTTTTTTTGTTAACTGGCTTTTTTTTTACATTTATTAAATTAATTGAAAAAATTTTTTTGTTTTTGTAGTATTCTTTATCATTTTAATAGAACAAAAAGATACTACTACTGGTTACTGATTTAACACTATTTGGTGTATTACGTAGATTTAATAGATTGTTTTCTCTTTTATGAAGGAATGCGATTAAGCAATGAGCAAAAAAGGATAAATCATGGGGCTTAGTAAATCAGGGAAATTAATTAGACAAAAACATGGAGTTTATGAGAAAAAAGAGTATAAATATTAGTGTTGGTTATGTTCATAATATTATAAGCAAATAAAAATGGTATAAAATGAAAAAAATGTTGCTAGAAACAAAAGATCTGATTCATGGTCTGATGAATCAGACCCAGAAAACTAACTGACAAGTATAGTTATAAATTAGAAGTTCTCAAAAATAGAACCTAAACAGCTGAAATTGTGAACTCTTTTTTTTTAGATGTTCTTATGGTAAAAAGGTTAACGGTGGATTAGACATAAGTCTTGCGGTTAGGCAAATCACAGTTTTGTCTGTACTTAAATTGCCCACAAATGTGCTATTTTATCTTGGTTGCCTTTACAAAACATTGAAAGGAATTATGGTATGCAATTGTTTTTCTGTTAAAGCCATGGGAAGATTGCATAGGGTCAGCAGTGGATTTAAAGTCAATTCTAAAAAATATATCAAAATATTACAAGAATCCTTATTACCAACCTTAGAAGAGTTAAATGTTGATGAAATAATATTTTAACAAGATAATGCCCCATGTCATAAATTCCTTTACATTTTAAATTGGCTGGAAGAAAATAATGTTCCCAATTGAGAAAATTAGTCTGCACAATGTCCTTAATCTCATAGACAGTTTGTGGGATTATGTTGATAAGGAGACAATTTCCATAAGAGGCAATTTTAAAATTTTTGAAATATTTATGGATAGCTATCCAAGAATCCTGGGCTTCTATACTAGATAGATTTTTAATAAACTTCATGAATTTAATGTCCCAAAGATTGAATGAAGTAAAAAAGTATAGAGGGAGATTTACCAAATATTAATTTTGTGTGTGTGTATATATATATATATATATATATATATATATATATATATATATATATATATATATATATATATATATATATATATACATATATATATATATTTTAAAAATATATATATATAAACAATTTTATAAAATATATAAACAATTTTAAAAAATGTATTCTACAAAAGAGTGCTCAATATTCTTAAAAGAACAGAGCAATTATAAATTAGTAGAAAATCACTTAACAAAAAAATTTTTTTATTTTACACTGTGTTTCATCCACAAAGACTCATCAGAAAAAATATATATTTTTCTGATGAGTCTTTGTTGATGAAACACAGTGTAAAATGAAAAAAAAAAATTTGTTTAGTGATTTTCTACTAATTTATATATATATATATATATATATATATATATATATATATATATATATATATATATATATATATATATATATATATATATATCTTTTATATATATATATATATATATATCTTTTATATATATATATATATATATATATATATATATATATATTTCTTATCTAATAGAAGGCAAAGAGTGGTAATTTTGCTTTTACTGACAAATAGTCAGTAAAAGCAAAATTAGGTGGTGTTTTATTATACTGTGTCCAAACAACGCTGGAAAACTAAAAACTTTCAAATGATGTAAAGGGCTCATGAAGAGTTGGAAGGATCACAAAATTTAATTCTAGGGATCAAAGTTTATTGCATCAAAGGGTAAGGGAAAGTACTAAAATTAGTTACCAAGAACTGTCAACTGAGTTTAGTAATAAGGCTGGTTTTGTTTGTGTTAGTTATATCAAAGTTGCAATAAAAAAAGTATTGAATGTTATGTTTCTGCCAGAAAACCGCTTTTAAGGGTAACAGGTAGGATTAAAAAATATGAGTGGGGTTAAGAAGACTTCACTGGTTAGTAAAAGATTGGTCTAAGGTCATTTTAGTTATGATTCAAATTTTGAGGTAGTTAATCATAAATCAAGAATTATTGTTAAAAGATTAGCTTCAGAGAAATAAAAGGAAAGATTTTGTAAAACAAGAGTTCAAGGCTGTGGCAGCTCAATTGGTCTATGTGGTTGCATTTCTCATAAGGGAATAGAATTTCAAAATTTATGCAAGGAAAATCAACCAATTATTTACAAAAATAGCATGGGAAATAAGCTTTTATTTATTATTGCTTTATCGTTTTATTGGAAGGCTTAAAAACACCTAACTTTTCAACAGGATGGCGCAACGGCAAATACTACGAACTCGGTGAAAAAGTGGTTTTGAAAGCAGTATAACTCTTCTACATTGGGCAGCATAATACCAGATCTAAGCCCCATTGAAAATGTTTAGTCATGGGTTAACAAGAAATTATTAAAAGGAATTTAGAAAGCGTTGTGCAATTGAAATTTGCATAAAGCTTTCTGTAAAAGCTTATAACAAAATTCGAAAGGATTTGTGTATTATGTTTTGTGTTATTACTTATGTTTTTGCTTGTTTTGTCATAAAAGTTGAAAGCTTTTACTTAACAATCAATTAATTTTCTGTTAAAGTAAATGTATGTTTTTAAATTTCAAATAACTTTTTCTTTAAAGAATCAAGTGTTGAATTTTTTTTTTTTTTTTTAATGTAATTTAACTAAGAAATAGCTGGGGAAAAAAAGATTTTTCTCAGGCTTATGTTCTTTAAGGCTTATTAAGCTTAAGATAGATCTTAAAATGATAGAAATGAATTTAGAAAAAAATTACCTAAACTTTAAAAATCAAGTTTATATTTTGTTAGCATCAATATTGAAAAAGTTTTTTTTTTTATAATTTAAAGTTTAATTTTATTTAAAATTTTTCCAATTACTAATAAAGCAATTATCTGTTAAATTTTTATTTGTAGAGAATTTTGTTTTCTTGATTATTCTTGGGTTAGCCATTTTGAAAAAAAATTTAAAAACTATAGGCTGAACCGATGCATGAATGGGTTCTGAGTCACAGCTTTTAAATAACCATTTAAAAACTGTGACTCAGAACCCATTCATGCATCATAAGAACCCATTCATGCATCATAAGATGAACAAAAGTTTTGTTCACAATTCTCATCATTTTATGACAAGGGTTTCAAACAAAAGTGAGATTTAATTTCAGTTTACAAGGGTTGTAAATTGACCAAACCAAAGATGTATTAATGTTTATCTTAAACCAAACATGTATTAGTGTTTGTATCAAACTAAACATGTATTAGTGTTTATACTTTCAAAACCAAACATGTATTAGTGTTTATACTCTCAAAACCAGTCATAACTAGCGATGTACACGAAAGCCGTTTTGATATTTTTTGATTAGACTTTGATATATTGAAAGATTAAACTTTTTTCTTTTACCTCTACAGTTCATGCACTATTTGTGAGCGCTATTTAATTTGAAAAAGTTGAAACATTTGTAAAGAAAGCTTTGAAACATTGTAAATAAAAATTTTGTGTATTCAATTTTTTTTCTGAGCCTTGCAATAAAGTAAAGAAAGTTGGAACACAGGAATAATTTTTTTGGATTTTGTGTAGAATAACATACTCTTACAATATTATGTATAAAAAAAATTTTAAATGTTAGGTATGGATGGTAACTGGAATTGGACTGATGGTAGTAAGAGTATTTATACAAATTGGGCTAATAATGCAGATGGTGATGACAGCAAACGATTTGATTGTGTTTATGTTGAGGCTGACCAAGGGTTGTGGAAAGATGCACCTTGCAATAAAAAACAACCTTTTTTATGTAAAAAGAAAAAAGAAGGTAAGTTTATTATTATTATTTAAGTTATAGAAATTAAAGTAGTATCTCCTGATGATTAAACATTCTAAGTATTAAGAACATTTTTCATTATCAATCTTTTAGTTTGTCCAAAAGATTGGAAAAATTTAAAACTTAATTCAGCTAATGGTTGCTATAAACTTTTTGAAACATCTTTGGGATGGGAAGATGCAGAGCATGAATGTGAAAAAAACCATTCACATTTAGCAAGTTTAACAAGTGAAGACGAACAAACTATGGTTTATCAGGTACATTGTTTTTGTATATTGTGCTGATTCAAAATCTTATAAATTCAGAAGCTTATATATTTAAAAGCTTATATATTCAAATATTTATACATTCAAAAGCTTCTAAATTCTGATCTAAATGTCCAAAAGTTTATATATTCATAAGCTTAAATGTCCAAAAGCTTAAATATTTAGAAGCTTATGTTTGCAGAAGCTTAAATATTCAGAAGCTTTCGAAAGCAGATGTATATTAGTATATAAAGTATATTCATACTTTTTTTATATATATATTTTACAAATCAAGTATTTTATAATTATTCTTTAAACTATAACTCTATATATATCTATAATATATTAAATTGTTATTTTTTTAAACTTTGAAAAATCAAACTTTTTTTATTTTTAAGGTGCATTCATCAAAGTCTTTTTGGATTGGGTTTAATGACCGAGAGAATGAAGGAGATTGGATGTGGAGTGATAGAACAACCTCTTCATACACAAATTGGGCTGAAAGGGCGCCTACTAATGGTGGACTAAGTTGTACTTCAATGATAGATGGTGGGAAGTGGCATGATGAACCTTGTGGAGAAAAATATAAATTTGTTTGCAAAAGAAAAGGCCCACAACCAGAGAAAACTGAAGGCATGGATAGTGATGGAGTATTACTTCCAGTTGCTCGATTAATGATGAGACCTGAAACCTCTCCAAGCCATATTTATGATGACATAGCAAAAGGTGGATTACATCCAGGTAGGTCTAGCAAATAAAAATATTATATTTAAAACTAAATATGAATTTTGTTTACAGAGGATAAAAGGTTTTTTTTAAAAAGTATTTAATATTGTTATAAAGGTACATACTATTGTTATAAAGTTATATAATATTGTTATTAAAGTGAGAAGCCTCTCTTAAATCATAGAAAAAATTAGGCCAAGCAGTACCAGCAATTTAATTTATGTACCTAAGTGACTTATACCCAGGCTTGAATTTTAGAATTTGGTGTATTATGTCAAATAGTAGAATTATTAAATATTATAAATTATTTAAATATTAACTGAATCATTAATATTCTTCAGAACATAATTTAAAATTTAAAAATTATTTTAGTGACTCCAAAATTTTTTTGGCCTCTGTTGAAGATTAGTAAATCTGGTCTAGCAGGCAATAGACCTATGGCAGCTCATGGTGGTGTTAGAGTTGTGCCTGGGGGTGTTGCTTTAGATGGTATTCATGGCTTTTTGGATGGTGGAGATTTTCATGGAAAGTGTCTAGCAGATCCTAAGAAATGTATTAAAGGCTTCACAATAGCAATACATGTAAGTTTTTTTTATCACAAATAAAACTTTTTTTTATTATTAATAACTCGAGTACAAAAGATTTTATATTTTTTATAATTTTTTTTTAATACTTTTTTGTTAACCTTTTAGATAAAGCAATTGTTTTTTTTTAATTTTTAAACTTATTATTTCTTATAAAGTTGTTGCGTAATCCTTGTAAAAAATAAAGCTTTTTTTAAGTATAATTTAATTTAAAACATGTTCCTGAAATATTTTGCACATGTTTACTTGCTGATAATTTCTAATGAAATTTTTTGTTCTTTTATTTCAAAAAATTCTGCACAAAACATCAAAAAGCATTTGTTCTACTTATCCAAACAATATATTGATGTCTTGTGTTAGTTCACAGTTTGTTCCTAGATTGTTTTATGATATATTGAATATTTTCTAGATTTATTTTGATAAAATTGTCCGGCAGTACAAAAAAGAGCATTGCGTAATTGACACATCTGGAGGAGGTAAAGGCTTCACAATTTTTATTGCTAATAACAAACTGAATTATAAAGTTGTTACAGATGAGCAAACATGGCATCTTCAAACAGATCTCACTGTAGAAATTTGGGAACAAATTGTTATGACCTGGCATAAAGATAAAGGATTATCTGTGTTTGTTAATGGAGCCTTTAAAGATTCAGAAACTACAAGTAAAAAGTCTGTTATAGTTTCTAATGGACCCACACGTTTAATTGTTGGCAGAGAAGATAAAGATAAAGGCCCATACTCATGTACAAAGTTAGTTAAAACTTGACTGTTTTTTTTTTTTCAGCATGTTTTTCATGTGTTTGAGCTTTATATATTATGTGTGTGAGAGATTGAGCTGTTTTATACATTATTCAAAAGATTTTTACAAGTCTTGTGGCTGTTTAAAATAAAAAATTTATTGTATATCTTTTTTCAAATATAATATATATCATTAAAAAAATTTTAATTTTTTTTAGGATGGTTGTTGCCTCAGTTGCTATTTTTACCAAAATGCTTTCTATTGAAGATGTGCCTTATGCATTCACTTATGGAGATACTGTGGTTGCAAGTTATCGATGGCTAATGTCAGGTGTTCAAGAATCAGTTGTTCCAGGTGCACCTGAAATTGAAGTAAAGAATACCCCAAGTATATCAATATTTAATTAATGAAGTAATATTTATTATACATACATACATACATACATACATACATACATACATACATACATACATACATACATACATACATACATACATACATACATACATACATACATACATACATACATACATACATACATACATACATACATACATACATATATACACACCCTTCTTGTTCAACTCAAAGGCAATGTTTTTTTTGTGTCTGTGTAGATTTTATGTCAGGTAGACAAAAAAAATATTTTGTTAAAAATTATAAAAGTTTTGCTGACATAACAATTTACCTAGTAATAAATTACACAAAAATGCATGTAAATTTACTGTTGAGAAAGATATATCTATTACTGTCAGCTTGATGTTTTACAAGTAGTATATGTTGTCTTAGAGTAGGCATACTTTTTAAATTATTTTCTAAATCATTATGTATTGTTCTGTTTTTTTTTTTTTTTTTTTTTTTGATTTATACTGATTTGAAGATTAACTCTTTATTTATAACTTGAATTTAATATTATTTTTTATATGTATATATATATATATATATTCAAGGCTCGAATTAAGTGATCATGAATCGCAATATCCAGAAATATTTCTGGTCATTAAATTTTTAGTTTATTAAAAACTGTGAACACTATTTTAATGAAGCGGTCAATTTATCATATAGCAAAAGTTAATAAAAAAACAAAACAATAAATTTACTACTGCAAAAATAATAACTGTCAGAACTTACATATTTATAATTATTGTTTTTTTAAACACTAGCTAATTTAAGGATTATAAATAAGAAAAAAATTATAAGTTATAATTATTAGTAAAGGTCCAAAAATTTTGCTTGGTAATTTAAAAATCAATCAATAAGAAATTATGCTGAAGCTATTGTATGAAACATTAATATCAATTTTTGTTTAGGGGGAAAGTTTAAGGAATTATTTATTTAAAATTTTAAATGTTTTAAATTAGAAATCAAGTAGTTGATAATGAAAATAATAATAAAAAGATATTTTTTAAATAATCATAACAGTTGTTTTGTTTTTTGTCTTTATAAATTTTTAAACTCCTCTGTCTTTATAAATTTTTAAACTCCTCTGTCTTTATAAATTTTTAAACTCCTCTGTCTTTAAACTTGTATACATTTCTGCAAAAGAGTTACGAACATTTAATTTATAGGAAAACATTGAATGAGATTTAAATAAGATATAAAAGTATCTTATTTAACGATTTCTTTTATTTAAAATATTTTATCACCACTAAATTTCTTTGGACTGTTGTCGTATATGTTTATTTTTTAATAATTATATTGTACTTTATCAAGCTTTATTTTTCTAGTTTTGAATTAAAAATGAATTAAAATATAAAAGTTTAAATCATAATCTTTAATAATAATGAAAATAATAGTAATATGGTTAAAATAATAACAATATGGTTTTACAATAAGTTTTTATAACATAATTCAAGATCAATATAAATATTTATTTATTGAATAACAGCTATTGAATTTATCAAATCAGAGTTTCGATCACTAAATTCAATAGCTGTTACGATAATACGACCGGAAGCATTTCAAGATATTGCAATTTGTGATACTACAGGCAATTTGTTATGTTTATATCTCTCTTGATGTTCTTCAAAAAAAATTTAGTGTGAGAATGGCATAAAATCTGCCAAAAAAGTTGTCAATATAGGTTCTACATATATAGTTTGTTGCCTATTTGATTGGATTCAATTTTTTTTGTGTGTGTATTTTTTTAAATTGTTTTTACTGATGGTAATTAGTATAATATTTTATTATTTCATTTACTTTTTAATGGTTTTAGTTGTTTTATTGCTATATATGGTTTTAATATTAAAATAATAATATTTTTAACATTAATTTAATGTTAATTTTTTTTTTATTATTCAGCCGATATAGATGGAGGTATATTTATTGATGGAACAAAAAATTGGTTAGAAATAGATGAGTTGGATCCAATGATTAGTGATGTTTACTCTAAAGCTAAACATGGTTTTGCAATTAGTTTTAAAATAAAATTTGATCAAAGGGTTAGAGAGTACAGAGAGCCACGCTATGTTATTGACTCTGGTGGTCATGTGGGTGGAATTAGAGGTGTGTCTGTATTTGTTGTCAATGACAACTTATACTTTCAAGTTATTGATAGCCCTGATGAAGATGTTTTGATATGGAAAGTTCGAGTTCCTGTTTACACGGTTCGATGGCAGCGAGTAATGATGAGTTGGAGGCTCGACAAAGGTTTGTGGGTATATTTAGATGGAGCTTTTCGGGGGTTTACAAAAACACCTATAACCTTGCCAGAAGAAATTAAAGAAATACCAAAAAAGTTAGTTGTTGGTAGGAAAATCATAGGGCCTGATTATGCAGGAGCACAATTTGCTTTTGGTTGTTTAGCTGTTTATGGTCGATACCTTTCACACAAAGAGTCAAATTTGGTTTTTGGTGGAGCTGACAACCCATTTCCTGGCATTATTAGAGAAGTGTGGAAAAATTTACCAGGAGAAAATATTACTGTTTTAGAAAAAAATCCTGATTACCCAAACAACCCAACAACAATTGAAATAATTGAAAATTTCGATGCTCCGTTTAATGTTGATAATGACTATGGCTCTAAAGTGAAAGGCTATTTCATTGCACCTGAAACTGGAAACACAACATTTTATTTGTCATGCAGTAAATCTTGTAAGTTGTTTTTTAGTGCTGATGAAGAATCAAAAAACAAGACTGTAATAATTTCTCTTAATAAACCAACATGGCACAATCAATGGAACAAGTAATTCTGTTTTTATTTTTTTTTTATAGTTTTATAAGTTTAGTTTATTAATTTACTTAAATATTTCCCTTTACTGTTATATAAGTATTTTTTTCTTATTTTGCTTTGGACTTGTGAATATGTTTTAGGCAATAATTATTTTGCTTGAAAATTTTAAGCTTCGTTAATTTGTTTATTTGTCTTTTTTTTTTAATTTTAATCTTTAAATGTTTTAGATATGCTAACCAATCATCAAAAGAAATTTATTTAGTTGCTGGGAAGTTTTATTTTCTTGAGGCAATTCAGAAAGGTGTTGATGCAAGTGATTCACTTAGTGTTGGTGTTCGTATGCCTACTGGAAGATATCAAAGGCCAATTAGTATTGAAAATCTCCAATGGCGTTTACCAGGTAATTTATTTTACAAATAACTGACAGGCTTAAAGTTAAATGGTTAATTAATCCAAACTTTTTAAAAATGTTTGTAGGATTCTGTTTTAAGCATTGATTTTTAGTTGCAAATATTGTCAACAAAGAATTTAGATTAGCTTTATTTTTGGGCTAATTGGCACACTTATGCCATCCAATTCCAAAGCCAATGGTATTTTTAGATAGATAAATAATGTGTTGCTTAGTTAGGATTTTAAAATTTTAGAAATATCTATATACAACCTGTGGTTGTCCTTGACTAGAGTTTGCTTTGCTAGCATGTTATGCTTATTTAAAAAAAAAAATTGAAGGCATAGAACATGTCCAACATTTGCTATAAATGTCCCATTTAAACAGTTGTATTATGAAAGATTAAGAATTTTCAAGCTAGCTACTTTGATAGCAGAAGAATACGCACTGATTGCATACAACAGTATAAACATGAAAATAGTTTAGACCAGGTACTTAACCAGAAATTATCATTTCACAATACAAACACTTGCCATGAATTTTTAAAACAACATTTTTATCAACAGAAGTTGCTAATTACTGAACTAAATTTCAACAGCATTCCAAAAATGTATTAGTAATTTTAAGAGCACCATTGACAATAAAAATCAAATGTTTAAATTTACAATGGCTGACATATTAGGCCTGATCTGGTTATTGCAGAACTTGTTTTCTGCACCAGTAGGCTTTTCAGACTAGAAGGGCCTTTTTTCTTATAGTTTATTAAAGTACTACTACTATTAGCTTTTTTTTTGAAAGATTTATTTACAGATTTATTTTTTATTTATTTACACTTAGTAAAGAAAAGAAAATTTTAACTCCATTTTTGTTTAGGTAATCAACATGCAGGTTTAATCAGAGAAGTGTGGTATAACATACCTGGTTATTCTATATCAGATTTAACATCAAACATCAACTTCCCATCTAAACCTTCCAGTACAGAAGTGCTTGATAAATTTGATGCTCCTTTTAATGTAGATGATAACTATGGCTCACGAATATCAGGGTATTTTCGTGCTCCTGACACTGGCGATTACAGGTTGCTTTTTATTTTACTTTTTTATATTTCAATGTTTCATTAAGTTGGCTATTATTGTTAATAACAATTTGTTTTTCTAGGTTTTATTTGGCAACTGATAGTAGTGGAGAACTTTGGCTCAGTTCAGATGATAGTGAAAGCAATCTTGTCAAGCTAATTACACTGAATGGTTGGACTGATCATAATCAGTGGCTTAAGTATGTTATTTGGTCTTCAAATCAAAATGACATCTTTTTTTGTTTAATGATTGAAAATTTTTCAATTGCATTATATATTAGTGCATTATGTGTGTATAAATTATGTATCACTTTCATTATCTATTACATTATGTGTACATTTATTACACAATTGCATAATTATGTAGCTTTGTATGTATTGTTTTGTATAATTAGTTATGTATCTGTAGTTATGTGTCTGTAGTTATGTATCTGTAGGATCTCAAAAAAGTTTTTAATTTAAGGTATCCTGAACAGAGGTCTGAGAAAATATTTCTTGTATCTGGTCAGTACTACTTTATTCGTGTTTACATGAAAGCAGATAAGTTAGGAGACTGTGCATCTGTTGCTGTTGAATTACCAAGTGGTCATTTTGAAGGACCAATTAAAAAGAAACATCTATCTTGGAAACTTACTAACTCTAAAGAAGGACCTGGACCTAAAGAGATAATTGAACGTATAAAAATTAATTTTCTTTTTTGTGATATAAATTTGACAAATAATACTTAATAAATAAATATGGCAATCAATAAATTTTCTTGAGTATTTTTAATTAAGTTTTAGATTGACCTAAAATTTACTTCTATCTTTAGTGAATTATTTAACTGTTTAAATTTAATTGTTTAATTATTTTAATTTAGTTGTTTACTTTCTTTAATTTATTTTTTTTTAGCCCTACCTAAGCCAGTTGGTTTGTTTGCTTTAAATGATGCCTCAGTAAAGGACATTTTACTTCCAGGTGAAAACAAAATAATTCTTGGTGATGTTGATCTAACCTCAGGACCAACAGGTCAGTTGTTAAATACATTATATTTAAATGTATTATTAAAATTAATTTTAGATTACTCAAATAAAAAAATGTATACAATTTTTTAGGCCTTAAAGATGACGCATTCTTGTTCAAAGGGAATCGTTCCTCATACATTGAAATACCAAATGATGGAAAATTAGATGTAAAACACTCTTTAACAATCCTGGCAAATATATATCCAATGGGTGAAGATGGTCCCATCATTAATTTTAAACGAGATGGTTGGGGAGTTCATTTATGGCAGTTTAGTAAGACACAACTTTTTGTTAGATTTGTAACACGTGAAGGAAAAATGAGTATGCAGCCTTTGGGTACAAGAGTGTTACAAGTCAGTGTATTTTTTACTCTTTTTTATGCTTTAAGTTTTGGTTTTTTAATAGTAATAATGCTAAATATATTTAATATTAAATATATTATTATCAGTTTTTATTAAAACCTTATAATGCTGAATTATTAAATTTAACTAATTGCAATTAGTTACTTTATATTAATTGCAAATTAATTTTATTATTGAGTTTGTTTTTACCAGCTCAATAAATGGAATCAAGTTGGTGCTACTTATGACAAAAGTTCTGGTGTAGCTCAGTTATGGCATGATGGGAAGATGGTTAAAAGCAGAAATATAGGACAAGTAGACCTTTTGACTAATGCACCTATTAGACTTGGTGCCAGAGAAGGTGATGATCGTTTTTTCAAGGGAAAAATTGCATGTATTCAAATATATGACAGAGCTTTAAGTGCTGATCAAATTGGTGAAGTTAAACACTGTCCAAAACAGAGTAAAGGTAATACTAATAAAGGTATCACTAAAATATCACTAAAAAGAATGACTATAATATGGATGGTTAAGTGCTAAACCAGTCTATATAGCAAAACTAAAAAAAGTTTGTATTAAAAAATGATTTATGTAGTATTTCTTTTCAAACAACAAAATATTATTGTTAAAGTTTTAATGTGCACTGGGCACCTTTTACATTTAGTTTGTTTGGTGATTTAGTGTTCTGCTTTTGTTAAAAACTTTTAAACTTTTCATGCAACTATTATTTCAACATGTTTGTTGTATAGGCTGGTTTGGCGCAAAGTCATCCATATTACCAAAGAATATCATTTTAGAATAACAACTAAATAAAAACTAACTTTTAAATAACAATTTATTTATCATATACTTAGTTTTAGTTCATTAGTTCATGATCATCTTAGATTCATTAACATTTTTATGTAACATGATCTAACTAACAAGTATCTTTGATCAGGTTCTCCAATCGACATTGATGATTTAACAGTATTTGCTCAAGGATCTGGTATTGGACCTCGACTTGAAGGTTTATATTTGCTTCATAACTCAAGCTCTTTTTTAAAATTTACAAAAAACAATGTTTTTTAAGTGTTTTAGTCTCAGCCTAGTTTTTTCCAAGTAATTTTTTTCCCTTTGAACAATCCTGTTTTTAATCTTTGGACTTGACATCCACTTAGCCGCCTGCAAACAATAACTTTTTTCAAATCACTCTACTTCTATACATTCATACATTGTGAACTTTATAAAATATGAAAAGTTTTCCATTAATTTTAAATTTTTTTGATAATTGCCTTTTATAAAGTTCTTTGAGTTATTATTTTTTGTTTTATTTATTTTTAAGTTCTTCAAATTTCAATGAATATTTATTTAGTTGACTCACTTTTTTTACTTTTGAAAAAAAAAAAAAAACATTTTCTTTGCTCATATCTCACTTGCAATTGTTAATCCTTTTTACTCTAAACTTCCCTTTAAACAGCTTTTAACTTTAATGACTAATTATATTTTTTAATTGCTAAAAAAAGTTTTTTTTAAATATAATATCAACCTGGGCCAAAAAAAAAGTAAATAATAATTTAAAAAGTTAGACTTTTTTTTTTTTTGAAATATTATTTGTATATAAACTATATTTTAGCTACAATTTTATTAATTTTATTATATTTTCTTTTGATTTTGAACTTAACAATTTTAATAGTTAAAACTTTGTGTTTTATAATCAAATCTTTTAATAAAATTTTAAGCTTGTATTAATGACTATTTTTTATTTATATATTTATAATATAAATCTGATATTTATATATTTATAATATATATCTTAAAATCATATACTTACACTAATCATGACAACTTTTTAAATCTTTTTTGAGATTTTATATTCACGCAACAGGTTATAATTATAGATATTGTTTGTATTTATATCATTTTTATTGCACAATTTTGTATTCACACAACGTGTTACTTATCAATATTGTTTGTATTTATATTATTTTTATTGCAAAAATTAGTTTAATGGTTTTAGCAAATTTATTTTTAAGAATTTATACACTTTTTTACTTTAGAGTCAGAGTCAGTGGAGAACAGAATTGGTGAAGACACTGAAGAAGAACTTATTGGTATGGTTACCATGGAAACTAATCCAGCCAAAGATAAAGTTGGTTCTGAGAAAGAAAAGGAGGATTTAGATTCAAAAAAAAAAAAGAAAAAAACATTTAAACTTTTACAAAACTAAAAATTAAACAAATTACCAAAAAACTAAAAATTAAACAAATTACTAAAAACTAAAAATAAAACAATAACAAATGAAACTTGAACAAAACTTGAAAAAAACTTATTACCAAAATAAATTTAAACTTTACAAGTAAAGTATACAAAAAACAAATATTGAAAACAAAAATGAAAAACAAAAAAACATTTGGACTGAAAATAAATAAACAAAAATTTGACAGAACTCTAAAAACTCCACAAGTTATTAGACTCCTTTATTGACTCTACCAACCGCATCTTACGTTGTGGTTCTTACTAACATACTTATGTTGCAAAAATATCTTCTTAGATATTTTTCTGTACAGTTTTTATAAAATATTGTTTTTCTTTCACAGCAATTTTTGAATAATTAACAATTATTTGAAGAATTTACTTGAACATAAACAACTTAGTTAATTATTATGTCACCATTTGCTATATTGATCTAATTTAAAAAAAAATAATAGAAATAAATAAAAAGTAGGATCAAAGGTTTTTTTTGTGCTAAAAGTAGTTGTTATTGAAAAAGTTGTCTGTGAAAAAAAAATGATGTATTAACACATATACTTTCAGGCATCCTTAAGGTAACAGGAGCCATTTTCTTTTATGTTGTGTTTGTTATATATATATATATATATATATATATATATATATATATATATATATATATATATATATATATATATATATATATATATACATTTATATTTTATAAAGATTTCTTTTTTAAGTAGTTTTAACAGAATCTTATTTGTTACTGAACAATTTGATTTTGTAATTTATTGTTAAATACAACACTTTACAAGACAACATTACAAATGCACGAAGGTCACAAAAATAAACTTTACTTAACAAATAAAACAAAAATGGTATAACATTTAACACATAATGATTTTGACTTCAATACGTTGAGTTCAATCTTTATCAATATTTCAAATAGTTTCATATTTCATCATCTGATAACTGAGTCTTATTTTAATCTTTGTAGTTCGGTCATATTTTAAAGTTGGAAACAGTTCTATTATTACAAATGAGAAAATGAGTCATTTTTGAATTGGTATCAATCAATTGGGGGTCATTAGTTGTTTTGTTTTTAAATTTTTTTCACTTTCACCTAATCACAAAGTATCTCCCAGGAATACTATGACATATGACATTTTTTTACCTGGATTCACTTTTATCTTCAGCTGAAAAATAGATTCCTTACAAAAGAGCAGTTTATTATGGACTTTGGATGCTGATTAGGTAATGGATAGGTAAGGAAATGGACACTCAAAAAATGCATCACCTAAAACACATCCATCTTAAATAGGACATGACACAAAACATACACAACGCAAACAAAACTGATGTATCTTTTGAGAGATTCTAAAATGTTGTTTTTTTTCTTTTTTATAAAATTGCAGTCCAAGGAGAAAGAAGCAAAGGTGAGATTCATTGGTGCTGTGTGATGATTTTTTATTTCAAATACAAAGATTTATTATTAGTGAAGTTTGGGATTCAAATAGTTTTTCGACTTTACTATCCACGAAAGAGTTTTAATAAAATGAGCACAACAGATGGGTTAAAAAGTTTGTGTTTTTTTTATTTAGTAACTCGATGCGATCCTAGTCCTTGTTTGAACAGTGGTGAATGTATTGATGATGACAAAAAAATTGATGGTTACAAATGCATATGTACTAGTGATTTCACAGGAAAGCATTGTCAAGGTAAAAAATGTTTTTTATTATTGTTTTTATGAGAACAGTTGTTGTTTATTTGGAATGGTTTTGATTTATAAATCAGAAGTTTTTGATTTTAAGTTGCGAATAAAAGTTTTGATTTGCATTAAAATAATGTAAAACTTGAGTATTTAAACCCAGTTTATTAGTGGGTTAAAGTTATCATACTCATAAACACTGTTCTTTATAGTAAGGGTTATTGTTATTTTCAATATAAATATTTTAGAAGGTAGTTTATCATTTTGTTTATGCTTGTAAGTGAATAATATACTTGCATGTTCAAATATATTATTTCTTTTATTTTTTCTTTTTTTTTTTTTGAATTAAATAATTATTTTAGTAAAGGTTATCATTGCAGATTTACTGCATAAGAAATTGCGTTTTTTGCTAAAAGTTAAAACAAAAACTTTTATTTTTGCTGGAATTAAAACCCAATCAATTACTTTTATTCAAGCAAGAACCATTTGGACTATAGATATCAAAGGACTTTGAAAAAAAACCTTACTTGAGAAGTGTTATTTTTTTAGGTTGTTTGTAAAAGGTCAGTAAAGGCAGGGAAAATCTTTTAAATTTAGTATCTGGGAAAAAAACAGTATAGGAACAAATAAAGCAGCTAAGATTTAAATATCTATTAAAATTTTAAATTTTCCATAATTTTTTTTTTTAATTCAAGTATCAAAACCTGCTGCAGAGAATCCTGTAATGAAAAGAACAGTTATCTCTTATATTAAAAAAGATGAAGAACCAATAAAACAAGGTAAATTATTAGATATTAAATATTGCTTACCATATACTTTCTTATATTTTTTTATTTAAATGTCTTTTATTTTATTATTGCTTAGTTTTTTTGTAGCATAACAGCTAAAAAAATAATAAAACAATATAAAGATAAAACATAAAATAATATTTAATGCAATTCATTGTGTAATATGGACAACACAAGACCATTGAGAGTTTATTTATTATTGTAAACAATTAACATTTACTGTTAGTAGTAAATTAAAATGATGATAAAAAGTGAATCATTTAAAATGATTCTACTCTTCATTTCAAAGTTTTATTTTTTAATTTTCTTTATAAATATTTTTATATTCCAGATACTATTTTATTTATCAATAAAAAAGTACATGTTAATTAAATTAAAAAGTATATATTAAATATACCAAATTTCAACTAGTTTATAAAATTTGTAATTTTAAATTTAAATTGAAGAATACTCATTCACTGTTATATATATGATATATATATATATATATATATATATATATATATATATATATATATATATATATATATATATATATATATATATATATATTATATATATTATATATATTATATATATTATATAATAAATATTATATAGTCATTTACTATTTATATATGATATATATTATACATATTATATATAGATAGTAAATAATATATATTTTTAAAAAATGCTTATTTTTTTGGTTAATAGCAACAAGCAAAGCAGATGAAAGTTTGTTATTATATCAAAAGATTGGTTGTTACAAAGATGATTTTTTAAACAGTGATTTAAAAATAAAGATATCAGAAATAAGTAATCTTACTCAGGACCACTGCGTTCGGGCTTGTGCCAGGGAAGATAACTCATCTTCATATTTTGGTTTGCAAAATGGTATCTTTTGTTTTTGTGGCAACAAGTATGGTAAATATGGTAAAATTGCTGACAGTTTTTGTAATAAAATGTGTCCTGGAAATTCAGAAGAAAATTGTGGAGGAGAATTTGCCAATAATCTGTTTTTTTTTGGACGAAGTAATTTTATTTTTTATTTATATAAGTTTTTGTTTTATTTGTTTACAAATTTTTTCTTTAAATTACTGTGAGTGAGAAAAGGTTAAGATAAGATTATGTTTGTTTCATTTCATTCTAAAGGGATTATCTTTTTCCAGATATTTCCAGAATTTCAGATATTTTGTTAATGTTATTTTTTCCAGATATTCAAATAGTTTTTCGGAAATACAAGTTAAAATATATTTTTTGTAACTTTATCATCAAATAATTACAAAAGTAATGGTATATTACAAAAGTAATGGTAATTCATCAATTATTCTAGGCTATATTCAGTTTGAATAAGAATTATTTGCACACATGTACTAATAATTTTTTATTTATACATGCAATTTATTTATTTATACATGCAATTTAAATTATAAATTTTTTAATATAAATTAAATGAATTTGTAAACCCTATTTAATCAAGTATTGAAATACTTTTCTTTTATATCAAAACCTTATATCAAGCCTGTCAAAACCTTAACCTCTCAGTCGATGTTTGTAGACTCCACTGCCCTTATCCCTATTTAATTCAGTTGATGTATATAAACTCCACTGTGACTACAGCAATAACAGTCAATTAATGTTGGCATTAATGCACTTATTCTATGAAACTTTGAAAAAAAAAATTATAAACAACAATAATAGTTAAAAAATATAAAACTGCTTCGAAAAAAAGATTAAAATTAAAAAAAAAAACTTTTATATGGTGGATTATAACAATAAACAATTTTTTATTTTTCAAAGTTTAATTAGTTGACTAAATTTTCTAGGTATTTCTCTAAATTTTCTAGGTATTTTTCTAAATTTTCTAGGTATTTCTTTAAATTTTCTAGGTATTTCTCTAAATTTTCTAGGTATTTCTCTAAATTTTCTAGGTATTTCTCTAAATTTTCTAGGTAATTCTCTAAATTTTCTAGGTATTTCTCTAAATTTTCTAGGTATTTCTCTAAATTTTCTAGGTATTTCTCTAAATTTTCTAGGTATTTCTCTAAATTTTCTAGGTATTTCTCTAATTATATATATAAATTATAGCATAGTTTTGTTGATTTATAAAAAAATTTCGTTAATTTTAGTTTTAAATGATATTGCAGAAAATATTGTGTAGAGAATATTTATTCAGGAAAAAACTTTTGTTTGTTGCTCTTTCTTTTATAAACTTTTCCTAAATCACCTCAATTGATGCTTCAATAGTAGTCTGCCATCATGTGTTTGTCCCAACGTCTTTGGTAACAATCTTTAATGATTTTCCAACATTCCATCTTAAACCAAGTTTAAGATGGAATGATGGAAAAACTATTTTAAATAACAGTTTAATTTCATGGTAATTCTCTTGCAAACTAACAGAATGGCTGATTCATATATAACAAAAAATATTACTATTGTTTAAAAGGCAATATTTGATGCTTCACTTTAAGATAAACAGTCTACATTCTGTTGGATTACAAGCATAAATGCCTAACTGTAATAGGAGACCTGAAATATCATTACAGAAAACAAATAAATGAGTTTCCAAATAAAATTAGCAAATGTTTCCTCTCTTATTCTAAACTAGAGTCCAATTTCAAAGCTGTCAAGAAAATTTTTTCCATTAATTGAGAGGCTAATAGTTCTGCTGCTTGATTATAATGTTGTAAATCATGCACTAAGTTATTCAGCTCTATCTGACTAAAACACTGAAGCAATTTCAAATGTTTCACATTAGAGAAGTTTTCTGAATCAGGTATAAATTCTTCCGTTTTGGTAGCAGACAAGCTTTGTTCATCATCTGATAAAAATAAAACCTTTAAAAATTGGAATTTAAATCTTTTCAAGATGTTCAATTGGTCTAATAGCAGAAATAATGTTGGCTATTTTTTGCTGCTTTATATTTCCAAAGCCAGAGTTATTGATAAGGCAAAAAAGCAGTTGTCAATGTAGTTTAGTGGTTCTCTCAACAACATGGGGACTCCCATGGTATTAAGAGAACCACTAAACCACAAGTAAATTTTTCTTTTTCCTTTTGTCCAATCTCGAAGACTTTCTCTTCAAATATGGCACACAGTATGTGGTGCATACTTATTTTTGAAAAATTTAAAAATTAAAAATTGAAAAAAAAGCTAGAGCTTGCCGACAAAACAAAGTTCAGATTTGAAATCAGCATTAAAAAATACATGAAAATCAGTTTAAATACCTCATACAACAGAAAGGTTTTTCTTCTTGTAGACATGATATTAATGATTCTGTATGAACAGTATAATCTGTATAAATAGAAGAGTAACACAAGTTTTTATCAATTTGCTTTTTTTAAACAACAAACTACAATAGTCCAAAACAATTAAAGTGAAACAATTATGACTTTTTAAATTTATTTTATTTATTATTGTTATTATTTAACAAGATTTTGTATTTAATTATTTTAATTTTTATTTTTATTTTAACAATGATAATAAATAGCAATTAAGAGAAGCTTTTGTTTAAAAAAAAAATTTATAACATAAAATTTATAGTCTTAGAGATGACACATTATATGTGTCATCTCTGAGACTTACTTATTATTCACTTGATGTGTCATCTCTGAGACTTGCTTATTATTCACTTGATGTGTCATCTCTGAGACTTGCTTATGTGTCATCTCTGAGACTTACTTATGTGTCATCTCTGAGGCTTGCTTATGTGTCATCTCTGAGACTTACTTATGTGTCATCTCTGAGACTTACTTATGTGTCATCTCTGAGACTTACTTATGTGTCATCTCTGAGACTTACTTATGTGTCATCTCTGAGACTTACTTATGTGTCATCTCTGAGACTTACTTATGTGTCATCTCTGAGACTTACTTATGTGTCATCTCTGAGACTTACTTATGTGTCATCTCTGAGACTTACTTATGTGTCATCTCTGAGACTTACTTATGTGTCATCTCTGAGACTTACTTATGTGTCATCTCTGAGACTTACTTATGTGTCATCTCTGAGACTTACTTATGTGTCATCTCTGAGACTTACTTATGTGTCATCTCTGAGACTTACTTATGTGTCATCTCTGAGACTTACTTATTATTCACTTGATTCTCTAGATTCTCTAACAAAGTCAAAAATATTTTGAATCTTTTTTGAGTTGTAACCTAAATTAAAACACTGTTATCAAATTTATTAGAAAGAAAATAAATATCAATAAATTATTTTGATAATAAATTATAAAGTTATGTGTTGCAAAAAATTATATGTTATATTAACAAATTTAGATTTACTGGAAGTCTTTTTTTTTTTTTTTTTGGCTATTTTATGGCGGGTTCAAATTAACTATATTCTGATCCAAAATAGTTTGTTATAAATTTATGAATATTTACAAATTTATGTTCAAATGAACATTGCACAATATCCAAAAATGGTTCCTTTCATAATCACTTTTTTCTAGTGCCAAAATTCAAAAATTCGCTTTATTTGAAATGATTAAAAAAAAAAAATTTAATTGTTGTTTGTTAGTATTTCTTATTTAACTATTTGCTGTTTAAAATTGTTTGATATTAAATAGGCAAAAATTATACCATAAAAACGTTTACTGGAAAGCAACAAGGTGCTGGAACAGATGCTAAAATATATGTTGAGCTGCTTGGTGACCGGGGAAACTCAGACTTTAGACAGTTAGATAATGCCATTGATAAATATGAACCGGGAAGGTATGTACTAATTTTATTTGTCGCTATTTTCAATATTCTTTATACATTTATACATTTTAAGTACTGATTTATATTTTAGCACTGATCAACAAACGTTTGCATTACCTGATCTAGGTAACTTGAAACGAGTGAGAATACTGCATGACAATTCGGGATCAGCTCCAAGTTGGTTTCTTTCTAAGGTAAACAGTAAAGGTTGTATAATCGCAAAATAAATTACGTTAAATCATGAAATGTTATATGTGTAATTAAAAATGTATTGTTTCAATAGTTTCTAGGTAGGATGTAACTAAGATGATTCCAAATAACTTTTGTTGCAACGTGTTCAGAGGTTTTATAAAAACTATATATCTTCTGTCTCATATTTTGGTTTCAAGTAATGTATTCATATTTTAGATTCAACTAGTATTTTGGCTGTAATTTTTTTCTAGAATTGTTTTAACCCATTTGACTTGACAAATTACAGCATCCAGTTTTTGTTTAAGTGTTTAACTAACTTTGTTAACTGGCTTAGAGCCAACTGGTTAAGATACCAGCAAAGTTCTTTTTTTCGCAACTCTTATCTAATGTGTGCCAAAGTATCGCAAACATCCTTTTCGTTTGCCTGGCTGAAATCTTTTTAATATTTTTTTTGCTATTTAAGAAATTTACTGTTTGTTTTTTTTTGTTTTCTGTTTCAGGGGTCTGTTTTCAAAGTTTTTGGTTTGTGTAGATCTTTTATGTTTAAATTCACCTCATTGTTTTTTGTTTAAATCCATCTCCTTATTTCGCGTTTTTCAAATGGTATTTTGTAGAATATCATCTGCACGCTATTTTTACACACTGAGTCATATGATTAGTTATACAAATTCTTCTTTTTTAACTTTATATTGACTTCAGTGAGCGTTGCCACAGCAAATAATCAGAAAATGCTTTTTGCCATAGCATAATCAAAATTTTATGCCACAGTATAATCAGAAAATGCTTTTTGATGGTCTAAAGTAAAGTTTTACTGCTGGTATCTTATATTTTTTTACAATTCTAAAGGAAACGCTTTTCTTTAGGTTCTTGTTTTTTTATTATTATATTGTTTGTTACTTATGTACTAAATACGATGTTCATTAATTTTACTTTCTATCCGTTTTGTTAATAGATGATATTTTTCATGAGGCTATTAAGTCTTGTACCTAGGGCCATATAATTTGCTTGTACCTAGAGCAAAATGTGTTTCTCTGATAAAGATATTTTTTGAGGTTTTTCGTGGTTTCACGAGGTTTTTCGCGGTTGTTTTGGGATTACCATTTTACGCGATGACTTATTTGTCAGAATTATTAGTCTATTTTATTATTAATGTAAGTGCTGCAATCAGATTGTGTTACTTAACATTCAGAACTGTTTTTGTAATTATCTAATATGGATTAATATACTTTAAAGTGATATATAACGATATATGTTATTATGGAGTTAAACCTAATTTTCAGAGAGTTACAATAGCTGGTGGTCCTAGGTACAATTAAAAAATGCTTGTTGTACCTAGGGCTACTAATTTTTATACCCTTTTAAATGACAATCTTTGTTTTTTGCTATACTAATCTAAAATGAACAAACAAAATAAAGTACACATCTATCTCTAATTAACTAAAAGTTACCTATATTAAAAACTTTTGAACAAAAGTCAAAACTAAACTGGTTTAAAACACAGTAAAACCTAAAAAATAAGTTTAGCTTCATATACTGAGTATTATATTGTAAATAGCAAAATAAATAAAATACTTTTTAAAACAAGTTAAATTATTTTTTTAAACAAATTTAAATAAAAAAAGATAATAATATTATAACTATTGTAAACAAAAATTGTCGAACATGTTACATCATATCGACAGCATGTGGTTGATATTTTTAATGATTAAAAAATCATTGAACTTAATTTAAAATACAAGAAATTGATTAAATTGTCTTCTCTAAACTGGAACAGCTGACTTTTATATTTTAAGTCATTATACCAATATTAATACAAAGTATAGAGATAACTAACAACTAGTATAGAGATGTGATCATATCAATTTCACCAATTTTAAACAATCCAGGGCCTTGAATTGCGGTATTGAAAAAATCTGGCTCTAGGTACACGAATTTCTCCTGCGCAACGTCATTTGAGTTCGTATTTTCCTTTTTTTTTTTTCTTAAAGCTCCATATTTTTTATCCTTTTTGATCTCTATTTCTTTTTAATATTTGTGATTTTTTTGATCTTTTTAATCCTTAATAAGAATTTTATTTGAAAATATACTTTTTTTAAAAAAATCTTTCAACATTACATTTTAGGTAGAGGTGACGGACGAACTAGGACATACTGAAGAGTTTCCTTGCAATGACTGGCTAAGCGAAACGCAAAGTGGCGGGAAGTTAGAACGGGACTTGTTTGCTAAGTCAATAATTTTCAAACCGTCGTAAAGGAACGTAGATCTTTTGTAAGACTTATAAAACTCAAAGGTTTTATTATACGTTCAAAAAAGACCGAAACCGTTCACGGTTTCACAGACAACAAAACTGCTAAAGTGAATACAGCGTATTAATAAAAAGAATGTATCAAAGATCATAAACTTTATTGCTCCTGTGGTTGCATATACTGTTAAATAAAAGGAAAACCACTGATGAAATCCAAAGTACATGAAATGTTTTTTATAGTGTCCTTGTAAATCTTGTTTCTCTAGACTTGTAAATAAAAATTTTTTATACACGAAACATGCAAATATTTTATGCTACCATTTGTACATTGTTTGTAATTTAAATACATATTACTCTTTTAAATTCTTTTTATTTTTAAGATTTAACGATCACACGTTTCCCAATATATAAAACTGAATGAAATTTTTTTTTTTTTTTATGAAGGAAAAAAAAGCTGTTTTTCAGTTTGTTAGATAATTAGTTTATACTTAACATCTCATGGCGTTGGATGAGGTTGTTTAAAAAGATGTTTTTACTATTTTCGCTATCTTCTTACGAATGATTGAGGCGCTTACCGAAGGCAATGGAAAGAGCATTTGTTTCTTGTTTTCATCTCTACATAGTTCTAAACCAATTAACGTTTTTATTTTGCTCTAATTCATGTCACTATAATTTATGTAACTTATATAATGTTTTTTTAGATATCTAAGTTAGAATAATTCTTGATTATGGAAAAATAACACACCGAGGCAGGTTGACTCAATCAAATTTATTTAAAGACTTTACACTTAAAAAAGCTTGGAATCTAGGTAGCGGTTCAACCCTCTTTCCGTAAAAATATCATAATAATCAGACCAAATTTGAAAGTGTGGAGTTTTTTTTACAATTTTTGATAAAATATAAATTTTTTACAATTCTTTTTTACAATTTTTGATAAAATATAAAAGATAAATTTTGATAAAATATAAATTTTATTAACTCATTTTTGAAAATCTTTAAAATCCCCTCATTTTGGGCGGAGTTTCGTCATGGTCATTACTTTGAACGTTAAAAGATTATTATATAAAACTAAAAACCTGTCGGTGAAATTAAATTCTAAAATTTTTATTTTATTAACTCATTATCCTCACGTTAGTGAAGGGGAGGGGGTAACCGTTTTGGAGTATTTTTGTTCTCAGCCTCCAATCACCGCAATTTTTTCCAAAACATTTAATTTGATATAAGCATGAACATACTTAAATTTAGAGTTTACATAATACTTGAACGTGTAATATCTGTAAAATCAAAAAATCCGGATGGCAGTTTCTTGAATGCACAAAACAGTATTTTTAAATTTAGGATGCCGAGACACTCATTTACCACAAGGTTAAGTAGTTGAGCAACACACCATCATTAATTCCCTCTGTCAGTTTTGGGATGGCTGCTAACATTTTTTCTACGTTATCACTTGTGCATGTCTTATCGACATTCAATGAAAGGCTTACAATCTTACTAACTGCCTTGTCAAGGAGATGTATGTCTATTTTCTGCATTTCTACTATACAACAGCAGCTTCCAGCCAGGGTCCAGTTCTTTGAGGTATAGTGAAGTATCGAGCCAAGCTATGGATCAAATTTTCTCAACAAGGCGTCACCTCAGAAAACTTTCGCTCTCTTTGTTATCAAATCATCGCTACGCTTCTATGTAAAATAAATGTGGATTACGCTAGCTACGCCTCTTAGTACATTTTAAATAAGTGTAGGTAAAATAAGCATATTTAGCATTTTTTTAAATTTTAAAATGGTTGTTGACTTTTATTGGGAAATCATAATTCACGTCGTATTTGTTTTTTTAATATAGTATATCATAACAGATAGATACATCAAATATATATAATGCTACTGAACTAATCACGAACAATATTCATACCACCTACATCATACCTATCAAATTTTAATTTGATTTTTTAATTTATATTTATGCAGTTTGTTATATACTATTTTGAATAAAAATATAAATAGATGAATACTCAGGTGGTTCAAATTTAGGTCAAAAAATTTTAGCGACTAAAGTGGAAGTTTATAAGGTGCACAGACCCTTGTTTTATATATAGAATTTTTTTTTTTTTTTTTTTTTTTTGAAGTTTACGGATGGCACACGGCCTAAAAGTACTTTTTTTTACCCTTTTCTGACGTTTTTCGATCCCCGTGTGCCACCGTTAATCATTATTAAATTCAAATTATTTTTTTTACATATTCTTGCAAGGACCTATACAAAAAAATAAAAAGGCACTCTAACTCAATTTATTTTTTCAAAACTTAAAAAATGTCCTTTAAAAATACCTAAGAAAAATTTTTTTTTCAAATCTAATGAATTTTCTATACACGCAACTATTGGTTTATTTCAAAATAAAAACCAATTTTATTATAATTTATTTACATAAAATAAAAAGTAAAATAAAAAATTATGCCGAAAATTCTTAAAAAAAAGAAAAATAGAGGCCAAGAAATATTCTTAGTTAAAAAAACTAGAAAGATTCTATCATCTATTCAATTTGCAACTGTAGAAGAAGTTATACAGTATTATCTTTACTTACGTGAGTCCAAACCATCAAATTCTCTCAAAAACTTAGTTTGTGGTCCAAACAAAGGTTCTACATTTACACCGAATTGTCCAGATTCGGGAGAGAACTGCTGCGTTATATCTAAGCTGAAGGTTTCATGGAAACTTGGTGGATACAGAACTCGTGACATACAATGCTTTTTACCGTAAGTAAATGCCTCGAGTCTGTTACAAGTGAGTCAAATGACGATTCTCATGAAAAAGAGCAAAGTTTACTACTACCTAAAGATATTTTAAAGCGTACAGCACTAACTGCTGCAGGAGAAGGTCTTTCTATCAATCAGCACACTGCTATCATAAGCAGTGTTATAGCAATTTCAGGAGGAGAAATAAATTTGTTGTGTCCAAATCATCATCTCTTTGAGCTGTAGATAAAGTAATAAGTTCGGAAGCTCAAAAAATTAGACAGTATATAAAAGACTTGACTGACTCCAAATATAAGCTGATTTCTGTTCACTTTGACGGGAAAATATTTAAAGAATATACAGATAAAGTTTCAGTTACAAGAGAAAGATTAGCAGTGATTAGTGAAAGTGAATGGGAAAACTGAGCTCCTAGGTATTCCTCATATTGAGTCAGGTTCTGGGGAAAATCAGTTTAAAGCAGTTTATAATCTATTTTCCTTGCCTGTAGACATCATATATTGGAAAGACATATTACCCACTTTACCAAGATATATCCCAGTAGTAAAACGTCTGGTCCAGAAAACCAGCTCTTTAAACACCTGAAATCTGTCTGGAATGATCTTGAAAAAGACATTGTTGCATTGAAGAGGATTGAAACTCCAAATGGAACTTGGATAAATAAACAACATCTTGAGGCTGAAAAATTCTACAGAGATGTAATAGATAACAGGATCTGCAAAAAGGTTAATTACATTTTTGTAGTAGCTTGCATAAAATAATTTAAACAATCTGTATACACAATCATAATAAAATAAATCATAATCATAAATAAAAAAAATCCTTTATTTTTAGAATGGTAAATCAAGAAGAATTAGCGGAACTTTCTTTGATGGTAGTTTCTCAAAAAGATAGGTTCATATTTCGTATTCCTGGTCCAATACATCATGCAAGATTCATGTCAAAAGCGTTGTATTATCTCAAAATGTATTTAGCATTGGAAGCTATTCCAAGTTTATCAGAAGAAAATAAAGAGGAGGTTTGTAAAATGACTGTCGGTATCTTTTACATTCAATGGTTTCTTAGAACAGTATTGGCAACTGCTGCGCCATAACAGGTTAAAAATAATCATTATAAATAAGAAAAAAGCGTAAAAAATGATGAGTTGATTTTCCAATTGATGACTTAATCTAATATTGTTAAACATATTTTTAGGATATGAAAGCTCTGTGGCAGATGAAGAGGTTCATGGATATAAATCTTCTTGGAGCCACTTTAGCAATAAAATCATTTGACAGACACAGCTGTACCTTGATCCTGCCTTAGTTGTGCTTGCATTAGCAGATAAAAGTTGGTCAAACAGAGAAGATATTGCCACATCATTGTACAATAAATTTCCCATCAAACCAATAGTGTATCCACTTGAACGTGTAATTTTTACAAGATCAGCCTCCATCTCTTTGTTCTCTAATAACTGGGCAATCTTGGCTCAACTTTGATAAGATGCGACATGGAAAGGGTGAGTTGCAGTGGCTAAAGATCCCCTCGCAGTTTCGGAAGTTTAATGATTTTTATCTTGATTTGAATTTATTATTAAATCTCTAGATGTGGTTAACGATTCGTCAGAGAGGACTATAAATCTAGTAAAAGAGCTGATTGGAAAATCAACGAAACAGAAGAAAAGACAAGATTTGTTCTTGTTAAACCATGTTTACAAAAGAAATTAAAAAGGGACAAAGAAAAAAGATTTAACATCAAATGTAATTAGCAGTATTTTAAAATGCTGATTGTTGGTTATTTAATCAAAATTTAAAATTACGCTAATTTTGTTTTTATTTATTCCCACTTTTCTACCTGTAACTTGTAATAAAGTTATATTATTAGGGAAGTGGTAATCCAACTTCATCTAGACTTATCTCTAAGTTTAACATCAAAAATTATGTAATACATTAAACTAGATTTTGTCATAAAAATACCATAGAACTATTCGTTGAGCTTTTAACTTCCTTTTTTTGGGGAGGGTGGCAACTTTACATGGTCATAACTTTTGAACGCTACAATATTATTAAATGAAATTTGAAATCTGTCGATAAATGTAAATTTAGTTCAGAATAACAATAGTATACATTTGGGCAACTTACTTACACCATTAGGGTAGGGGGGAGGCTAAGTTTTACGGTTTTTTTAGATTTCAGGCTCCGATCATTGGAATTTTTTTAAAGCATCACAATTTGATATAAGTATAGGTATACGTAGTGTTGAAGTTTTTTTCATGTCTACATATTATTTATCACAAGCAGCAACAAAAGCTACCGCGATCACTGAAATAAAGAAAATCGTTTTTTTGTCAATATTTAGCGACTTTTCTATAAGTTTTTCAGTGTTGAAAAGTAATAATACAAATAGAGTGCCTTTTTATTTTATTATATAGGTTCTTGTAAGAATATGTAAAAAAAAATAATTAATAATGTTTAAGGGTGGCACACGCGGGTCAAAAAATGTCAAAAAAGGGTAAAAAAAAAAGTACTTTTGGGCCGTGTGCCATCCTTAAACTTCAAAAAAAAAAAAAAAATCCTATATATAAAACAAGGGTCTGTGCACCTTATAAACTTCCACTCTAGT